TACAGACCCACTTCACCATGTATATAATGGAGCTGTGTCGGTGATGACAGAGACTAAAAACGAAATCTGAAATCGTGACTACACTTGAACTGCAACTGTATCAGTGTGAGAATCACCCGTTCGCTGTCGATCAGTCACTGCGGCTGCAATCACCACCACCAATCGACTCTGGTTCCTCGAAACACTCTCAGGTCGGTTTCAGACTGGTCATCTATGTCCGTTTCTGTGTCTCTCGACTAGAGTCTCTTTGGCTTGATCATCGCCTGCGAGCCTCTCTTCACCTCCTACCACACACCTCTGCAAGTCGCACCTTCTCTCCATCCCTTGCCTCGCCAGGAACCCTCTCCTCCTCTGGTCTGACAGTCTGCTCACAATCTGCATCCCACCTCACTTTCCTCTCTTTCTCTCCTCTCGCACACATTCAATCCTCCCGCTTTCCCTTCCTTCCCTTCACCTCCTCATCTGCCACCTGTCCGTTTTCCTTCTTTTCTTCTGCCTCCCCACCCTCCCCCACCCCATTCTTCTTGTCTCCTCTCCCTCCTCCCTCCCCTCCTCCCTCCCCTCCTCCATCTCCCCAATCTCCCTCCCCCTCCTCCTCCAATCTTCCCTCTCCTCACTACTCTCCATGATCATCCTGTCTCTAATGCTGCACCCCAGCTCCCCGGCTGACAAACTATGTTTCATTGTCTTTAGCTGAGAATGCAGTTCCTTCTCTCCGTCTTTGCCAGCTTCGTCTCCATTGGCGCTCTCCTCTCCCTCCTCCTCTTCTTCCTCCTCTGTCGCAGTTCCGTTGGTCTCTCTCCCGGCTTTCCCGCGCTCGACGAGCACTTTCTGAGCGGCGGCCATTTTAGCAGCCGAGCCGAGGATGCAGCGCTCGCAGATGGTGAGCATGAGTGCCTGGTGGGTCTTGCTGTCCAGTTTACTCTGTGTTACCTTCTCAAAGTCTTCCTGCGTCAAATTTAATAAGGCAGTGCACGAACACATTCATTGTCCATATTATTTAACACTTATACCTGCTATAGGGAGGTAAGATTGGGCTCGGATATGAAGATGGAGGCAATACACATAATTCACATGTGTTGTTTGGTACAATAACCAAATGGGCGGTTTATGTATACACCGCAATCGTGCCCAAATGTATATGACGTGCAATCTTTTAGCAACTCACAAATAGAGTGGAGCGATAAGCCTTGAGAAGAAGCTCACACCTGGAAACACAAACATCGAGTAACTCAACACACACCCCCTCCCCCGGCCGGTTCACCTCTGAATGAGGAACTGCAGAGCGCTCATGTCCCCCTTCCCCCACTTATCTGCCAGAATCTCCGTCTTGAGCGCCTCCTGACTCATGCCCCGTAGCGCTGGAGGTCCTCTGACTTGGCCGTGAACACTCTCACAAAGGCCTTCAGTTGTGGCGTGAACGGGTCCTCTGCTGCCAGTACATGGAACACTCCAGAGCTGGGAGGAGAGGGAAAGAAGGAATGGCTATATACAGCAGCGAGACTAAACTGAGTTGCCACAATTAAACTGTGAAGTGTGTAATTTGAAAGTGTTAGTGCAGGAGTTGAACACAACGACTTACAGTGGGATGTCCAGTTTTGTGAGAAGTCTCGATTTCATTGACTTGGTCACAGAGTCTTCGCCGCTACTGAGACCTGAACACACGGCCACATAACAGCACACGAAATTAGTCTTAGGAAAACGGCAGCGGGTGTCCCTTCCCTCTCACCTAGTTTTATCCTGAGGGTGTCTCCAGTATTGGGAGGGTACACGAAGCCCTGGTGGAGGAAGAGCTCGGCGTTGCTGCGGGCTCCGTAGAAGATCCTCAACTCCTTGCCTGTCCGGACGGCACTCGGGGAGAAACAGTCGCACGTCCGCAACTCCGCATCGAAGTCGGTCGAGATTGAGCCTGTCAATGTCGTGTGTGTGTGTGTGTGTGTGTGTGTGCGTGTGCGTGTGTGTGTGCAGACAGGTAACGTGAGTGAACCAGCTCGTGTATCAAGGGCAGCTACATATGTATGGCAACCACAAGAGAACGGAACACTGACTGAATTGCAGCAAGAAAGACTGTTTGAAAATCTCGAAGGCTTTCTTGAAAGCTGTTTAATTTTTTCACAAATATTTATGGGTAGGGATCCACATGCGAAGTCTCAGAACAATCTGCAAGTTTGTATTCTGCGAAGATGTGATCTAATTTTTCTCCCTAGTAAGTTTTCTTCTATACTGCAGTGCATGTTTTTCCTGTTCTCACCTGGCCAGTGGTTACACATGTCCCAGAGAGGGATGAGCGCCAGTTTCGACTGCGTCTCGTCTCTCTCATGAGGAATCTCGTTCTGTCGCGACATGACCGCACTCACGGCCCAGACAAAGTCGTCGTAGTAGAACCCCACCGAGTAGAGGTATATTGATGTGTCTCCGTGTGCCTGGAGGGCAGGGGGAGAGAGAGAGGGAGGGAGGGAGAGAGAGAGGGAGAGGGAGAATGAGAGGCAGCAAGACAACCTAGAAAGTAGAGGTCTGAATTGTATACTTTCACTGTATGGTTGTTGATAGCACACAATCTCCATACTGTAATATAACAGCAATTGATTGATTGATTGAGTAAATGACTTGTTGAGCCTACAATCAATAGGGCGAAAGTGAGGGGCAGGGTAGCCCCTCCCCTTACGTCATAAGACGTGTTTTGGGGAGGAACCATGGAGGAGGGGAACACCCTCCTCCATGAGAAAAGAGGAAGAGGTTTTTGACTCGGTGTGCAGCAGATGACTGTTTCTAGTCAACTAGGAGGTCATTATAACCTCACACACACAGTATGGCAAATGAGGTCACACACACAGTATGGCAAATGAGGTCACACACACAGTATGGCAAATGAGGTCACACACACAGTATATATAGCAATTGAGAGGAACCGTAACAGACAGATGCTTACTCGAAGCAGCTTGTGTAGATGAGAGTAGAGCTTTCCAACGCTGCGAACGTGCTGCAGAGAATCAGCTGTGGAGGAGTGTGAACATTAGGTAGTACTGGGTGGAACCCTCTTATTAAGACACCAATCACAATGGGAAAGAAGGAAGTGTCCCTATTTTGCTATATATTTGAAGGGTTAAATTGCATGCAAGAACTGTTCTCAAGGACCGTTCTTGGGCAGATGAAGGTGTCCTTATAAGAGAGGTGTCCCTAGTTTCAGGGGTACATACCCCTTAGAGAGGTGTCCTCATTTCAGGGGTACATACCCCTCTGAGAGGTGTCCTCATTTCAGGGGTATATACATACATACCCCTTAGAGAGGTGTCCTCATTTCAGGGGTACATACCCCTTAGAGAAGAGTTCCAGTGTAGAAAGTATAACAAACACCAAAGGCACAGAGAGGGAGGAGAGAAATAGGAAAGGAGAGGGGGAAGGGGGAGAAGATGACCACTCACAGAGACAGGGGGAGCCGGTCAAGAGCTCCAGCTGGGACCTGTCAAACCACAGGGGGAGAGAGAAGGTGGCTGGAAGGATATCTGGAGGACCATGCAATAGAACAACTTCAAACACAGCGGATAACAAAGGGGAAAGAAAATAAGTGACGACATCTTTAAATTTGGCTATCAAAAATTTTCACGCCACTGCACCTTTGGAGGAAAACACCAGCTTTATGAAACAGCAAAAATCGCACAAATATTCCCCACCAAGAATGTTATGTACGTGCTACACGGCATTGTACAGGCTACAAAAGATAAATGAGTAGGTTATAATTATGTGTACCTATGTAGGGTTTCCAGAAGGATTTTGGGTTGTATCTCTCATTGAGGAGGTGCAGGGCTAACGCCACATTAGGCATCACCTGCAGCATCCGATCTCTGGCTATCAGTGGACCTGGACACACGAGGGGGGGAGGAGAGAGAAAGAGAGGGGATTGAGAAATGGAGGAGACAGAGTGCAAAGAAAGGTGAGGAAGGAAGGGTAGGGGGAACTGAGGGAGGGACACGAGCTAACGGAAAAGGCGACAGTGGACAAGGGAAGACTCAGAGACAAGGGACCAGAAAAGGAGGTAGCAGGGAGGGGAGAAGAGATGTAATTGGACAAGGTGTCGACCAAAGTAATCCTGATTAACTGACTAGTTCAGAGACTTCTTAGAGCCATCTAGCCAAGCCATTAACTAGCTCTACATACAGTAGAACCTCAGTTATGTACATATAAACCTACCTGGGCAGCTTGGGGTGCCCGCACAAGTGTGAAAAAGCCTTTAGGTCATACACAATACTCAGCTGTTGGTTGCAGACAACTGCCCTGTTAACTGAAGCACACGCGGCTTTGAAGTCTAGCTAGCTTAACGCCCCACAAGCAATAGCTTCTTGTGCATATTAACTAACTCACAACAGATTCTACACATGCTAACTGACCGAGTTGGCTGGTCTTGGCCGTCTCTGAGGTCATCATGAGCTTCTCTGGGATCCTCATCACTCTTTCCCCCATCTACACACACACACATGTAACAATAGACCATGTGATGCCAAGAGAAAAAAGATGCACACACACACACACACACACACACACACATGCACACTCCGCATTATCGACCCCTGTACACGTACTAATAACTAGAGAATATTACGTGTTAGCAAGTACACACACCACAGGCTTTGTTGGTGTGTTTGTAAGCTCAGAGTAGTCGCCTCACCTCGATGTCTGCCGTGGCCTTCACACCATAGCCCACACCTCCAAATGACCCTACTTCCACCTGCATACGCACACACACACACACACATACGCACACACACACACACACACACACAGAGTTAACAACAATGAGTGACACTAATACATGATCAGGACACATTTGGCAAGAGGGAGAGAGCGTTGAGAAACACGGTGTCACATACAAAGAGAATTGCATAATGTCGACACATGCACACCACGACGATGTACCGACGTAATATGGAGCCATTCCTACCACTAGGTTAGCTCACTCCCGCTCACCAATTACAGCGTCTACTACCACTCTTCACCTGCCTTGGTTGGGGATTTCCCAAACTGGTTTGGGAAGATTTTTGTGACTTGCCTTGTCGAACTCAGCGTTGTGTGCCTTCAGCCACTCGTACAGAGCTGGGAATCCTTGTCTCTCTGCTGGCAGGTAACTTGCTGGGAGATGGTCCTGCAAACACACACACAAAACAACACAGTCCACGTCAGTAGGAATAATTATCCACACTTGAACATGCAGTTTATATCGTGTGGATGTGACTCTTCTGTATGAGTAGCAGATGTGGCGAAATCTTCACGTCACCAAACCTTGCAAAAGCTTCCTCTGTAAAACCCAATTTGCCACCTACATGTAGTATCCACAAAAGCTTTTTAACTATGGGTCAAAAATGTCCAACACGTTGGGTAGAGAACAGTAGAGGAAGGGTAAGTGTACATACGTACAGCAGACAGACCTTGTTTCTCTTTCAGCGAGTCAGTGAGTGCCACTACAGCATCGTACTCTTTCCAGAGACTGCCAAGGTTGGATGGAGCTTGCCCCTGGGTCTCTGCAGTGGGGAAGGAAGGAGCAGGGTAGGAAGAAGGAGAGAGGGGGGAAAGGGGTCAGAAGTGGCAAGAAAGGGCATTTACAGTGGAACCCCTCTAATCCGGACATTGGCAGAACAAAGAAAGTGTCTGAATTTCAGTGTTCTTGCATGCAAGTAGTAATGTTGGGGAAAGTAGAGACTTTGCATTTCCAGGGGTGTTCTTAGAGAGAGGTTCCTGTAGATATTACTGTGTGTTACGAAACAAGCGAATCTCGCATGCACGTTAACATGCCTATGTATACATACAGAGTATATAGGAAAACGGAGCAGCTAAATTATCATCTTACTGGTCCACAGCTCCTCCACCACCTTGCAGACGGTTTTGTTGTTGATGAGAGAGCCTGCTGCCGGTTTTCGCTGCCCCAGCTTGAGCACCGTGCCGTTTCGACTTCTTCCCCATACCGCCTGTGCGCTCCGTAAAGTATACGAAACTAGCAAGCTGGGAAGTGGGGCCTGTGCCTTGCGGAACGAAGCTCCGATTTGTTTCTATTTAAAGCACACCGTACAAATTAACACGTGGTGTCCGGGCCTGGAGTGTGTCGAAAGGAAGAGGTTTATGGAGAGCGTAAACGGTAGGAGAACTGGGTCTGTTCTGGTGCTGCAACGAGTCGGTGCGTGTGTGTGTGTGTGCGTGTGTAGTGGGTGCTGAGGTGGTGTTGGGAGGGTGTGGGCAGTGGATGGTTTCCACGGGGACCCAGACTGGAGAGGAGACGAGTCAGGTCCAGATCTCTGTCCCATTACAACAGGTGCTGCATACATTCCTCTCTTTGTGTGTGTATATGCAAGCTTCCTCTGTATGTGAATTATGGATGTGCAATGACCACAGTTTCTGCAGCGAATAGAGTCATTCAAGACTCTGAAGAGACAGCAGGTCGATGCAGCCAACAGACTAGAGTTCTACTCCACAAACCGTGACTCCAAGAGAGAAGGTGTTCAGCGACGGAAACCTCTGAGGTTGTTACGGTGTGTGTGTGTTTGTCTGTTGCCATAGGTGACGGAGAGACGTGTGCCCGAACTGACCTCGTGTATGTCCGGAGAACACCGAGTGCACTGAGCCATATCACTGGTGAGGGACACGCATGTTCACCAGCACTTTCACTCTTGGGACCACGCACCTTTTTGTGAGGTTGGGAGAATGTGAAAATCCGGACTGCCACATAGAATCAATGAAAATGTATATAAGCTTGCACAGGTAGCTTTAGTATATAAACAGGTGGCGAGAGTGGGTTTATAAAACAGCCTCTGTTTTGCATTTTTGGCAGAGAAGTGTAGCATGTGACTCTCGTCTTTCAACTTCAGTTTGTTACAGAAGCTTTGTTTTACGGACATGTTTGTGTAAAACATACACTACTATGCTACACATACCACACACACAATGCAGTCCAACGAATCCAGAACAGCGGGGGCCCGACGCCACCTCCCCTCTCTCCACTGGACCAGCTGAAGCAGGACCTGAGCCCCTCAACCCAGTGGCACGCCCAGAGTGTAAAGGTCAAAAGTGGCGGGCTCCTCCACCTGCCTGAGAGGTTGACGAACCTGGAGCACTGCATGGACCTCTATTCCGGTATGTTTATCACACTGCTATAAATGCAGGTTAAAGCTCACCGAGAAACTTTGTTTTAAGGTGTCTTCTTTCTGTTTTATGTGTCTGAAGGCGGAACCACTCCCAAAGACCTGATTCAGAGAGTTCAGAACTTGGAACAGAGGCTACTCCAATTGGAGAGCATCTCACCAGAGTACAGTGTGGTGAGATAGGACAGCAGTTGTATATAACTGCAGCTCATGACCCCACAACCAAAGCAGATCCTGATTCCTGAGTCCCTATGAAAATCTTTCCTGCTGCACATTTCAATTCATCATCAACCAGTCATCATTTTATCTCAGCAAAAGACAGCACCTGTATCACTTTCATAAATTATAAACAGAACACACTCAACACACAACTGGTGCATGCACAATACACATAAATATATATATATACTCCTGTGTTTGAATGAGTGATATAATAGATCAGAATAAGGTTTCGTTTTGGGATGAATAAAAATATCTGATTGGTCAGGAAAAGTCGTAGTTTTAGACAACCTCCCAGGAATTGTCAAGGCCACTCTCGAAGCGGTGCATCAGGAACTCGGAGTCCTGGGCCACGGTCAACGTCCTGCACTGCTGTTTGAGAATGCACCCCTTGGAGTCCAGCCCCAGCAGCACACCACTGTGCCCGATGGAAATCTGGACAAAGTTCCCCGGGAGTTGCCGCCAGTAGTTGCCGTGGACGTTGCTCTCGGTGATTCCGTAGCGACACAGTAGGTTCCCCGAGGGGGTCAGGGCGTACACCTTCCTTCCGTGAGCACACAGCTGCTTTAACGGTTGTCCTGGTACAACGTCCCATGCTGTACCGACGGGGAAATCTGGAGTGACCCCCGTACGGGCGTAGGAGTTGCAGTTCTCGTCGATGGCCCAGACGAGCCAGTCGTTGTTGCTGACTGTGATCTGCTGGAGAGGGTGCGAGAGGTCGTCTACTGGCACCCAGGCTGGGGACATCCCCGTCCCCGGCTCCCTGGAGTGTACTCCGAAGCGAAAGTGGGGTACTCCAGAGCCGTCCACGGCCCAGACGGCACGTTTCCCGCAGACTATGTGTTTGAGTTTCCTCTGGTGAAGCAGAGGGCTCAGTTCGATGTAGTCCCACGAGATACCCTCCGGGAGAGCTGCCGTCATCCCCTGCCGAGACCACAGCTGGTTGTTAGCGATGACCCAGAGCGCCGTGGAGGACACTGTCATCATCTGGACTGTCGAGGCACACTCGATGCGGACAAACTTGTCCTGGGGGGTGACGCAGTAGAGCTCTCCGTCGTCCCTCACCACCCACAGCCCCGTGCTCCCGCTCCCGAACATCGTCCAGGTGGTGAGCTGAAACACGCCGTCCTTGGAAGCGGAGCTGTAGTGGTAGCCGGTGGTGGAGCGCCAGCAGGCGTGGAGCTTGCTCCCACTCTCCAGGACACAGACGCCGGCCTTGGTGATGCGGAGACGGCGAGGAGCTTGTGGTGTCCGGGGAGGTGGGTGTGGATGAGAGAGGAGACAGAGGACAGGAACTGTGATCCCTCGGAGGTCATGACCTGCCAGAGGGAGTTGAAGGGGAGGGAGCTGTGGGAGAGAGTCGTGCTGACCGTCACCTCCCACCAGGGGTTCTTCCCCGTTGGCTGAACCCGACTCAGTCCGCCACGGAACCCCATTTTCCCCTCGCCGTCGATAATCCATGCGATATTACCCTGAGTCATGCAGACTGCTTCCAGTTGCGGGGCCTTCATTTCTGTCCATTTCTTTCCACTGGGGTTTTGCTCTGTCACTCCTTCCCTGCAGAACAGGTGGCCGGAGGCGTTTGTGGCCCACACCACTCCAGAAGACGCCGCCACTGACGTGAAGCCAGCAGCTCGCCCGACATCCACCCAAACCCTCCCCTGCGGTGTCCTCGCCGAGACCCCCTTCCGGAATATTATCTGGCCGTCGGTTTTCACCGCCCAGATCCCCTCCTCGTCTGCACACACGCACTTGACCTTCTGCATGAGACTTGTCCCTTTTGTAATGTTCATCCACACGTTTCCCAGCTTGTTGAGTTCGCTCACCCCCTGGCGCACGTAGGCGTTCTGTCGGTACGTCCCCCACACAACGCTCCCGGATGCCGAGGATGAGATCTGCTGCATCTGGTGCTTGATGAGCTCCCACTTCTTCCCCTTGGTGTTGATCTCCGTGCAGTAGACCAGGTTTCGAGAGTCCACCAGCCACAGGAGGTGGTCAGAGAGACAGATGCTCTGCACCTGCCCCCGACAGGGGTGAGGGACCGTCACCCATATGTCTGCGTCCGGATCGGGCGACGATTCTCTCGTTGTCGCTGCCGACTCCTCCAGCTGTTGTGCCTGGTCCCGATCGGCGACGAGGCTGTCAAACGGATAGCGCGAGACGCTGGGTGAGAGAGGGCTCGGGGATTTGATGGTCGACAGTGCGGGGCTTGGTCGTCTCTCCTCGACTGCCGTAGCACACAAACTAAACTGCTCTGACTTCCGCTCCACCTGTTCACCCTCATTCTCGTCCCCCGAGAAATCCGATCCGCTATCGTCCTCCATAGGAGGTTGTCGGCTCTCCTGAAAGTGGAGCGACGAGGAAAGGCTCTGAGAAGGTAAACTTGCAGCTGTGGGCTTGCTGCGCGATGCCTGGAGTGTGTTACTGGAGGACGAATGGTAGGAAGAGCTGAGGTCGACAGGGGAGTTGCTCACCTCAAAAGGTGAGGCTGAGGGAGTGAACAATCGTTCGGAGCGAGGCCGAGGAACCTGGAGGGAGCCGTCCCAGCTGAGATCGCTTACGGCGGGTGACACTCCCAGAGAAGGTACCCCCTTTGTTCTCATGTGCTTTGCTGCAAATGCAGCCGAGGAAGAGGAGGACCGTGGAGGAGTGGGGACTGCACTGGATCCTCTCGAGGAGCTCTGCGGCTTGGCCGAGGAGCCTCGCCGAGATCGTTGCTGGCTGGACTCGGTGTCCGTGGTGAAGTCACTCGTGTCATCGCCATAGAGTGGATTGTCTGAGAGTTCGAGGGGCACCTCGTCTCCCGAGGCAAACTGGCGGGGTCCGTCGGAACTCCCACACACTTTCTCAACCTGTTTCATCCCTGCAGAGCTGTGGCGCATTTTAGAAGGTTTGAAGTATCCATTATCGTCATCGTTCAGCTGTGAAAGTGGGTCGGTGCCAAAGGTTACTTCGACGCTGCTGACCAGATGGCTCTTCTCCCTGGGTCCAGGTGACAGGGGGCTCTGTAGTGGCTCCCTGGGGACCTCCTCTTTCTCTCTATTGTCCCAAAGCTCCTCAGCCTCTCCTCTACCAGTGTCGGTGGGGCTGTCAGCAGCGGAAGTTTCTGGAATCCCGAAAATAAGTTCTGCAGACGTGGAAGTTAGGGGCGGTGCTGTTTCATCTCCCTCGGGAAAAGAGACATCTGCTGACAGAGCATTTGGAGTCTCTGCCACTTTGTCGACCATATTTTGTGTGCTGTCGGGCTCAAACATGTCAGTGTAAGAGCACTCCTGGGTGGCTTGTAGGGGAGGTTCGATGTGACTTGTGGTGTGTTCTGGCTGCAACTTGCTGAGCGAGGACACCGGTAGCTCCTCTTTCTCAATCACGGCTGAGAGCTTCCTTGTCTCAATGCTTCTCTCTTCAGCCTCCATTCCTCCCAGACCCACTGTGTTTTGCAAATGGAAGGCGGCATCATAGTGTAAAGTGGCACCAAATAACGTTACGTTTGCATGCACCTACGTAAATCCGCATGCGGATGTTCTCCCTAGTTAGCATGCATTTTAAGCAAGGCACAGCAACTCACTAGGTAGAACCCTAATAACACGGTACACACTGTGAAGGCAAAGCAACATAAGTTGTGTATATACCCAACCACACCTTCGTTGGTGTCTGAGACTGGATCCACCTGAGGACTGGCAGCTGGTGTTGTGTCTCCCTCTACCACTCCTCCGTCCCCAATGTCTGTCAGTCTCTCCAGAGACGAGGACGTGGAATCTGGACACACGACCAGAGAAACGAAGAAAAAAACACAAACTCACTCTGTGTAAAAGCTATTCCCTTAGTCATTTGACAAAATGGTGCTTGCTAACCAAAAAGGAACCATAGAGAAGACATGTAGAGTGGAACCTTCCTAATCTGGATGATGTCTTAATTGCATGCAAGAACTGTTGTCCTTATTAGAGGGTTTCCTCATTTCAGGGGTGTTCTTGCAATACAGTAGTTTCTCCATTGCAGTTCACAGAGCGTCTTCTCGCCTGGTTTGGAGTGTTTCTTTGTCCGTCTCTTCCGTCTCTTTCTCTGAGTGAGTCTCTCGGAGACGGCGTCCTCCTCTCCTGCAGCCTGCGCCATTCTGAGTCTCCTCTCCTCCTCCTCCGGGCCAATGGGTGTCGGTGTCGCACCAACGCTCGCTGTCCCACTGCTGAATGGACTGTCCCCCCGGTCCTGCACAGAGCAAGGGGGAGGCCATATGTACACTACGTATGTAGTTTCACTGAGAAGTACTGTAGGATACTTTGCAACATAGGAAAATATACAGATGAAGTATGCACTCATCATATGTACGTTGGCTTTCACTTTGCATGTGTATTATGAAATGCAGTGTTACACATCAGACGTACCTTATCACGGTCTCCTGAAATGAGCTCTCCAAGTTTCCCCCCAAGCTTCAGAATAAACTTTGGCGAGGGTCCCTCCAACGGAGTGCCCTGTCTCTCCTCCCTCTCCCCTTCCCCCTCTCTCTCTCCTTCTTCTTTCTCCGATTGATGACGCTCCGCTAGAGGTGACTCCCGTGGTGATGTGCTTCTAACTGCCCCGCCATCCCCAGCAGCCCCACCGTCTCTCTTCCTCTCCTTCATTAGAGTGGAGAGTTTCCCCAGAGCTGGTCGCAAGAGGTCAGTCACCTCTCGAGCAAGGTCCTGGACCCCCGTTGGTCCGGTCACCGAGGGAGGGTCTGCGAAGTGAGGTCTCCCGGGCTCTCCGGAGGACCCAGCTTGTGTGGTTGGACGGGAAGTGGGAGGAGCTTCTGTGCTTCCATCCGGTTCTGGGTCTCTCACATGAAAATCTTCTTCATTGTGGAGCTTGTCTTCTGAGCCGTCCTGTGCTGTTGTAGGAGCAGTAGTTTCGTTTTCAATGGCGTCGTTAAGGGAAATGATTGTTTCAATGTTTGCTTCGTCGGGAGTTGATTGACCCTGTCGTAAAACAGTATCATCTGTGGCTCCATCTTGGCACAATTGCACCTCAGGCAGCCCAGTGAGCATTTCTCCACCGCTGCCTATCGTAACTTGTGGTGGGTCTTCACTCAATTGTCTGTTAGTTGTTTCAGCTGTAGTAAGCTTGTCATTGGTGCTCTGTGTCGGTTCTTCCGACACTGGAGACTCTGAACTGTTTATCGAGTTCATTTCCCTCATCTCGGACGCAGCTGAAATGACACTTCTCTCACGCGACTCTCCTTCTTTGACGAACCGCTCACTCTCCTCGCTGTCTCTTGTACCAACCGACACACTGCTCCATTCGCGGCTCCCAACCCCCGATCTGTTGTCTCCACAATCTCCCGTAACACTCAACAAGTCCTCCTCACTCCTGGACCCTGCCACACCGCCCGTCTTACTCGTCTTCTGCAGGCTCTTGAGGTATGAGGCGTGAGCGGTGAACCGTGCCAGCGGACGAGTGAGCTCGTTGGACAAGATGTAAACAAACTTCCCACTGACAGAAACGCAGGTGATTGGATGCTCCAGACAGAGTACGCCGGCCACAGTGCTGGTGGTGGGGTCGAGAATGCAGAGGGTGCAGTCGTTGTGGGTCACGACGAGCCCGCCGAGCCAGGGGAGGACGAGGGAGAACTGCCAGGTGTCTGTGAACTGTTTGGTCCCGGATGACCAGTTGTGGGTCGGGACGTGGGGGAACTGGCCCGACGTTAGGGGACCGCGGAACTTTGTGGTGAGAGTAACCTGAGGAGCACGAGTTGATATTCTGGCAATGGTCACATTTATTAGTGTATACAGACCTTTCCCGTGTCATCAGCTGTCCACATACGGAGACCAGGCCTCGAGAGGTATGCCATGACAGGTGGAGCTGCCCCTTCTTCGTCTGTCGTCAGAGAGCCTTGGGAAAAACAGCCTCCGTAGGAACCCGACTTGCGCTCCTTTGTGCCCACCTTCCATGATTCCAGGTGTGTGTGTGAGTGGTTGGAAAATGATCTTTAATGGGGCTAACAAAGCCAAGGAAGTTGAAAGGAAACAAGAACTATGTACACCGGAAAGCACAGAAAAGGACTGGTCAGGGTTTTTCGAACACAAGACCACTTTTGCAAATTCAGTACAGGGACTCGAAGCAAAGATAACAGCCTTCTCTTTGGTTTTACCTGTGTGCATATATACTCTACACAGCAGGAAACATTTGTGTAATTTTTCACAGAGAAAAACTTTGATTGCAGGTCCCGCATAAAAATCTACCCGCCTTTTGCAGGTAAAACACTATTGGATGGCTAATAATATCCTGAAGTTTTCTCTCTTGAAGTATTACAGTATGTACATACGTGTATGCACATGCTGGGTCAGAAGCTCACCTGTGTGACCCTCCCACTCTGGAGGTCCAGGAGGAGGGAGCGGGCCAGCGTCGAGATAAGCAGGTTCTGCTCACTCAGTGACAGCTGCACCACGCGGCTCCCGCACTCCAGCAGTGGCACCACCTCCATCGCCTCTCCACCAAACTGGAACGTTGCCTGTGTGTAGTCAAAGAATAGGCTAGAGGGACAGCATCAGTGCCAGTTGTACAGCAAGCCGATACTTATCGTGGAGACATTTGCAGTTCAGTAGCAAAAACAGAAAAAAGTACTGGCTGAATGCTGGTCCTGCCATACCAACAGTTCCCACCTACAACACTTGGCAAACAAAACTTTAATGGATTTCCAAACGAAAATATTTTCACTTTCCCTCAATTACCCACACAAGTAAATATTGCAAAACGGTTTCTCCCTGAATGTTAACTATGATGACAACGGCAGAAGTGCGAGAACTGTAAGTTACGGCACCATTCCTGAAATGTATGAGATTTATAGTGGAGGGGGTTCACGACCTTTATGAGCTTCCCGGACGAGTATGCACAGAGTAGTGTGGTTCCCGTGCTGTCCCATGTCATGGCAACCACCGTCTGTCTCTCCTTCTCCTGTATTCTGTATCCCCTCGACTGCATGTCGGGACATGGAATGGGGATAATTAATAACATGTGTGTACAATGCTTCTCAGAAACATTATGCAGTGGAATATCTCTAATTTTGACACAATATGGGACAGAAGAAAGTGGCCATAATTGTGTTGTGTCCTTTTTTTCATGGGTTAAAATGCATGCAAGAACTGTTCTTGGGGAAAGAAATGTGTCCTCGTTTCAGGAGTGTCCTTTAGAGTTCCAGTGTATTTTAAAACAAAATACAAGCAAAACTGAGTAGCTAGTATCACCATTTGCTTTGTGAAGGCATCAATCTTAGTCTGTCCGTCTTGTGTCCCGAATGCAACGTGCTCATGTCGTGAATTCAAAGCCACAGCAGTTACGGCTGTCCCTCTGAAATCCTACAGTTCAACAGACAAGAAAAGGAAGAACAGCATCACGAATGCTCCTATATAGATGTGGCGCCATGTGGATCAGGGCTCGACGGGGCTGTACACAGCACGGATGCGATTCAAGCATCCTCGTCTTTCAAAGCATTCAGGGTTTGAAAAGGACGCAAGCAAACAACGTGAGGAAAGGCATCCTCAATGCAGTGGTGTTTCGACGCCACAACCACCTCCATTTGACCGGAGAGACCTGTAGGTACATATGTAGGTACAGTGTACTTATACCACATTTCTAGTTGAAGCACGTTTATGACTCACTGACCATATCTTTTCTCTCCTTTGTGCATGCCATGGCCTCTTAAGTTATGCATGTTACATTACATGCAGTTACACAACATGCCGCGGGATAAATGAGACGTTTTACTTTGACGGTCAAAGTGTGTACATATGTGAAAGTATGTGCATTGCTTTAATGCCATCCGATCTGAGGATATTACACTGTGTGTGTATCACTAATGCATCGCCATATTTGGTGTACTTGTATTGTCACGATGAATGTAAGGAACTTGCTGGCTCGTACCTAAACACACATTCAACACTTCAAACTCCATTAAGATTGTCACATTAAGGTTCAAAGCACGTATTGTACACCGTATATACATGTATTGAACTGTTGAATGTGCACGCATAGGACATTGTATCTACGCATCACCTGCAAACACAATAGTTTGATCACAAAGCATGCTATATATGTAATAAGTATGTAAGTATGTATACATGCCGTTTAGGAAAATAGACAGAGTTTATATGGACAGAGAAAGTATGGCGCCCGATACAAGGTGGTGGCATGTGTCACTGTGCATTCAGCGGGGTCCTCTGTCCCACACACAAGCTTACAGAGGAGGGGAACAATTAGTGGTCAATGACGAGCGTCGTCTGCCGGCTGGACGTGTGCTAATTCAGGGAGTCGTACTGCGAACACACCGAACTACATGAAGGACTGACTGAAGGGCAGTATATATGTACTACACAATGTGTATGTACAGCTTGCTTATGCATGTTCATTCATGTATAATCATTTTTGGCTTGGGTATATGCACTCAGCAAAGCTCAAGTCGGTCCTCAAACCTGATTGAGAGAACTGTAATAATTCATTAGCCTTTCGTAGGTCATTATAATAATCATGGTATACTGTTATCTGTCGTCTAGTATTATTTGTTCGTTTTGTTCTTTCGTGACCTTTGTTCAGTAAACCATGATTCATACAAAGAAGAATCCTTTGATGGAACTCAGAACTATTTGTAGTGCAGGTTGATACTCCTGTAAATGAGCAATTAATGCAGAACTGTTACCACCACCAACAAACTTGTATGTAAGAACTGCCAGTGTTCGTGTGTATAACTATAATCCCTTAGTTAAACCTGCCACACAGCCAAGCATGAGCAGATGTGCAACTGTGGGGGGCTCCACTGGCAGACCATGCACGATAAGCATACACACATGCAACAGTACACACACTATTGACCAAATATTGGGGCAGGCTACAATCGGTAACAGCGGTACCCACTTCACAAGTGGTGGCTCACATCACTACACACAACTGGAGTGTGCAGACCATGCAATGGTATATGCAAATATAGCACTCCATATATCGTGCACGGGGCCCACACCCAGCTACAGGGATTAGATAAGATTTCCCAAAAAACAAGCAGAAATATTCGGTATAGACATACATACATGTAGTGACAATGCCATCATTTCCTCTTAACTCTAACTCCACACACATCTGTATTGAACACTGCTGTGTGTATTACAACATACCCCTATAGACAACACAGTACAGTGTGCAAGGAGTACGGTAGGTAGCATAAACGCCGGCACGAGTATATAGCTTTCTTCAGGCCTTTTTTTCTACGAGTAAGATTTTGCATGTGCTTACGCTGAGCTCTCGGACGAGTTTAGTGGCGCGGAGGTCGAGGATCCATACGTAGCCCTGCTCCGAACCCATGGCCAGGTACTGCTGCGAGACGTCGAGGCAGGTATACACGACAGTCTCTCTGCGGGACGCCGCACTCCGCACCTCTCTCGGGAGACACTTGAGCACCACAGAGAGAGTGTGGGGCTCCTGAATGAAGCCGTCTTCGCCGACACTCGGTGCAACCGTACTCTGCAGAACTGCACGAGGAGCGTGTTAGTGTTTGTGTGCACATAAAAATGTACAGACGAGTGTAGAGTGCATTTAGAATAGTGTCTGAGACAGTCGAGGCACACATTCAGGTGTAGCTACATCGGTTGGAATTGGCCGAGTGTACAACGTAAAAAATCACTCAGCACAGTTTCTGAGGTGTAGAGAGACAGTGCAACATACAAGAATGGGAGCAAGAATTGCGTGCACTTTGCTGAGAAACTCGTTACATGGACCTATTGATGAAATCATGGACCTATTGATGAAATCATGGGTCGATTCACACTCACTAGCTATTCCCTATACATAGAAAGTTATGAGAAGGAATTGTATGTCAAGGCACCTTCCTGCATGCCATTTACCGACAGGTGTGCAACATGAGCTGCGAAATAGGTACTGTATGCTTTCTCTACGCCTATCTCACCTGCCATATCGCTGATGTGCCACGCCTCCTTTGCTGCTGGCCCGTTCTCTTTCTTTGTCTTTTCTCCACTTGAGAATAGCTTCGTCTGGCTTCTCTTACTCCTTCGTCCTCTCCCCTACACCCACAAGATCGTTAGTTCTTTGCGTCTCTTGTGTCTGACTGTCTCTTGTCTCTAGACTCCCCACACTCGCGAGACACTGCGAGTTTTATAATTGCGAGGGGGGCGGGGGCGGGGTGGAAACGGAGGGGGGGGGCGGGTGCCTACTATCACGTGATCCAGGGAGAGGACAAAAGAGGGAAGGTTCTCCCGATCGAGGGCTTCTCCTCGTCTTCTCAGCCTCCCACACCCTCCGCAAGGTCCTGGACCTCACGATCGTGGTGAATCATGGCGGGAAAGTCGAACACGGGCAAGTCGGGGTTCCTGCACGACGACTCGCGGCTGCACAAGCTCTGCCAGGACGGTAACTACAGGAAAGTGACCGAGTTTGTCAACGCCGTACCAGACGCGAAGGCCCTCGAGGATCGCCTCTCCAATAGGAAGGGCGTGTTCGGCTACACTCCTCTCCACGAAGCCGTGGCCAGTGGTCACCACAAAGTGCTTGACTTTCTGCTGCAGAGAGCTGGAGACGGCCACGTGAACTGCCGTGCCAACAGTGGCTACACGCCCCTCCACCTAGCCGCCAGCAGCGGGCACAGCGAGTGCGTGCGCGTCCTCCTCCGGCACAGCGCGGACATCAGCGTCACGGACGAGTACGGGAAGACGCCCAAACAGACGGCTGAGCTGAGCTCCAAGAGCAGCATAGTTCGCATTCTGCGCAGCGCAGGTGAGACGGGTGCCACTTTTCCTGTGGTGTGTGATGTGTGGATGCTGGGGGATTATTTGGGAAAAATCATTGTGTGTATGTTTGCATTTGAGTTGGTCGCATGCAGTGTCAATAGGTCATGTTGGTGGAGTGTGACCCTTTCATCATAGGTCACAGGTCTGCGTATTAAATCTTCTATGCTTTCGTGTGTGGGAGGCAACATGATGAAGCCAGTAACAATTAAAATTTCTGTGTTTTACATGGGCACACGGACAGTGCATGCAGTGGTGTTGACTGTTGCTCAATATTACATACACAAGGGGATTCCGGCACCACATACAGAGCACAGTTTATGATTCTCGATAATTATACAGTTTGTGTTTTTTCTTTCTCCCTAACGTGGTAATCCCCATATTATTATGATAAGGGACCATTTGTGTGTTGAGAGAATCGAGCTATACTACAGTATGCTGTGACCGATGTGTTACTCAATATTGGTGGTGGAAAAAACCCACCGCAAAAATCACTTTCTCACTTTCTTTCATGCATTATGATCGTACTATACACACATAAGCTGATGTGCTTTTGTTTTGTTTTTGCTGTGATGTTAAAACTGAAAACTGCTCTCATTTTCATACTGTCCTCCACTGCCCAAACACAACACTGAAACACTCAAGCCAACTGTTGTTGATCGTATCTGTGCTTAAGAATAGCCTCTAAATTGAGGAGACACCATGTTATGTACATACCTGCTCTTATACCTTCACCTCTTTGTCTTCTCCTTGTGCGTAGAAATAATCAAGGAAGTCGAAACCAATGGCGACGGGCTCACGGAGCTCCTCCGCTTCAACACTGACCAACTCGAGCCGCATTGTCTCAACACAGCCCTCACTGCCGCCGTCCGTAACGACAACCATTACAACGTCGGAAAACTGATCGTGAAGGGGGCCGACGAGATCAAGAAGGCACTGAGGCAGTCTGTGGAGGACAAGAAGCCCAACGCGAGGGCCATGCTGCTGCTCGTCCACGCCGCCATGGAGGGCAACCGAAACCTCGTCCTCCGTCTCTTTGGCGAGCCCACACTCCGGCGCCGACAACTCCCGCGACTACATTGACGACACATTTCCCGACGTTCAAAAGGCCGTTCTGGATGGAAAGGTCTCGACCGTCGTCCCGATCGAGATAGCCCGTCGCTACGGACACGCAGCAGTGAGGGAGGAGCTCCTGCTCAAGACGGACGTCAACGAACAGGAGAAGTCGGTCCACTGGCACGGACTTCGACTCTTAGTGCTCGACATCAACTGGCTGCGCAAGATACACTGGGTGCAGAAGTTGAGACTGGCTCGCAACGGCTTTAAGCACCTTCCAAACGAAATGGGCACGTACCTCAAGCAGGTAAGCATTGAATGTGAAGCACCCTTACACTGCCCCCCTTGATTCCTTTTCTTTAAAGTGTATACTTTCAGTTGTTATGTATGTATACACAACACCAATTTCACTTTCGGAGCTTTAAGCCTAAAACATATGCTTTCACCATAGGAAGTGTTTGTTACTATGTACACTTCCACTTAATATTACGTGCACACCTCCTGTAGGTAATCAAGCTGGATCTCCAGCACAACGACCTGAAACAGATCCCCCGCTCTCTGCTGGAGCTGCCCAGTCTGCAGGAGCTGAATCTCTCCCACAACCAGCTGCAGGATATCCCAGACGTCCCAGAGTGGTCCTCCGTCCTCTCGGTCCTGGAGCTCTCTCACAACCAGCTCGCCACGCTCCCACTCAACGCCGTCGCCGGCGCCATCCGCAACCTGAACATCTCCTTCAACCAGTTCCGCCAGGTCCCCCTGTGCATCTGCGGGTTTACCACCCTCCACACCCTGGATCTCTCCGACAATCCCGATATCCTCACGCTACCCGCAGAGATGGGCAGACTCAGCAACTTGAACCGTCTCTACCTGAGAAACCTGAAGGACCTCAACGATCCTCCGAGAAACGTGCAGCGCGACACGAGGGACTGCATCCGTTACCTCAACAGCAAGTTGCGTTGTGCCAAGGGCTTCTACCGGATGAAGCTCATGCTCGTCGGCTGCGCGGACCGAGGAAAGACGACGCTCGTGGCGCGACTGCAGGGTAGAGACTGTGGTAATGAATCGACAGTTGGCGTGGATGTCAGCGAATGGCAGTACAGACCCGCACTGGGGCGAAAGATTTTCAGCTTCAGCATCTGGGATTTCGGTGGGCAGGAAGAGTACTACGCCACCCACCAGTGCTTTCTCTCCCAGCGCTCCCTCTACCTCCTCCTCTTCAACCTCAAGGAAGGAGACAAGGGTGTCCAGGAGTTGAAGCCGTGGCTAAACAACATAGCACTCAGGGCCCCCAAGTCGTGCATCATCATTGTGGGGACTCATCTCGACGAGGTTGCGGATGAAGAGAGGGAGGAAGTTTTCAAACTTCTGAATAAGGTTGGTGAACTTGCTAACGCCTACTCTCCAATGCTCAACATAGCCGAGATCATCCCGGTGGGTCTAAAAAATCGCCTGGAGCATATCGGGACGCTTAAACAAGCCATCTATAATCACGCCGCAAACTACACCCACAGAGGTCAGCCCATTATGGGCCAGAAAATTCCGGCCAGCTACCACGCTCTCGACAAACAACTTGAGCTGATTCAGCAAGAGGTGCGCCGCGGGAACCACGAGCCGATAATGCACGCGGAGGAGTTCAAGACGATGGTCCAGCAGATGAGCCTCCTCGATATTCAGGACGATGACGAGCTCAAGACGGCCACCCTCTTTCTCACGGACGTGGGGACGCTCCTTCATTACGACGATCGTAATCACAACCTCCACGAGCTCTACTTCATCGACCCTCGCTGGCTCTGCGACATGATGTCCAAGGTAGTCACCATCAAGGAACGGAACCCCTTCGTCAAGAACGGGATCCTCCGCTGCGAAAACATCCCCTTCCTGTTCAAGGACAAGCGCTTCCCGTGGCAGTACTTCGAGCAGTACCTCACCCTCCTGGATCGCTTCGAGATAGCCCTCCCCCTGGATAACAAGCGTATCCTCATACCCTCGATGCTTCCTGACGCTCGACCGAAGGACATCGACATGGAAGAGGGGCAGGATCCACCGTTCTACTCTCGCTACATTATGTTCAACGCCAACGATACTCCGCCCGGTTTCTGGAGCCGACTCCTCTCGAGGATGATGCACTCCATTCCCAAGGTCCGCTATGCTCTCAACAAGACCATTCCGCGGAACTTCAACGAGTCTTCGTCCGACTCGGGCCTCCAGACGAGCGCCGACGGCTACTCGGTGGACTTCCAGATGAGCACCGAAAGTTTCTTGGGATCTGCAAATCTCGGAAACTCGGTTGGGAACGGCGGCCTGTTGAACTCGGGCGTTTCTGAAGCTACGACGCCACCAACTGAGGTAAATGGAGGGAGACCCGATATCAGCGGACCCACCCCCAACCCACCAAGTATTCCCCAGCTCTTCACCAGTTTCCCCACGGCCCTCAACCAGAGCTCAGTCTCAGCGTCCTACGACATTCGCTCGGTTCGCCTCGACTACTGGAAGCTGGGTCTCTTCTACAGAGACCCAGACGTCTCATTGAGGGTCGAGTCGCTCTCGGCGTCAAAGAAAAACCCCGAGAGAAAAGACGGCGTTCTCGTCTGCGTGTCCACAAGCCTGGAAGGTAAGAAGATCATGGGACAAGTGGTGGACATAGTTGTTGCCCTGGTAGGAGATTGGTACCCTGGGCTCGCCGACAGCTCTGCCACCAGCCTTCTCCAAAAGGTTCCCTGCTACGAGTGCCTCAAACTTCGCCGAGCCGACCCGTTCCGGTTCAACGTGGACCAGTGCCTGCCAGAAGTCCAACGAAACAAGGAGCACGTGGAGTGTGGGTACAGCCGTGACCCAGAGGTGCCGAATCACATGGTAGCGCTCCACGACATCGTCCCCGACCTCCTCATGCACGATATCGATGAAAAGTTTCTCCTGAATGCAGAGGACATATCGTACCAGGAGGACGACACCTCGCTTCTCGGGGTCGGTGGATACGGAAAGGTCTATCGCGGGAAATGCCTCGAGAAGTCAGTGGCCATCAAGAAGTACCTCACGAAGAACGAGAAGGCCTTTGCTGAGCTACGCTCCGAGGCAAAGTTTCTCCAAAAGTCCCATCACCCTTGCCTAGTGTGCCTCGTCGGTGTCTGCCTGAGGCCCTACATGGCTCTTGTCCTGGAAGAGGCTCCACTTGGGTCCCTCGAGAAACCACTGCTCCGCAAGAAGATGGCAATTCACAGAATCACGCTCTTCAGGATCGCGAGTCAGGTCACAGCTGGCCTGCGGTTTCTCCACAGTACGGGGGTCATATTCAGAGACCTGAAGGCGGCCAACATCCTCCTGTGGACCTTGGACCACGGCTCCCTCTGCCACTGCAAGGTGACCGACTTTGGCATCGCGACCCACCTCACTCCAGTCGGAGCCCGCGGACTACAGGGTACCAAGGGGTTCATCGCACCAGAAGTCTTGTACGTTGGAAAGAGGAAACAGCGTTCGGTGTACAACCACACGGCCGACATTTTTTCTTTCGCGATGCTGCTGTACCAGATGATCGCTCGCCGGCATCCCTACCACAACGTCAAGCCTGAGCGGATTGATACGCTGGTGGAGTCGGGGGATAGGCCAAAGCTGCAGGACGTGGAGAACGCAACAGCTGCCTACTACTACCTAACAAAGCTCATGAAAGTTTGTTGGTCGGACAAGCCGTCACAGAGACCGGGAACGGATGAAATTCTGCGCTACCTCTGTCTCTCGGTGGCGCAGTCAGTCATGTCTGTCATCCCCATGAAAGGCCGGCTGGCAGTGCGGAAAGCATGCGCCATAACCCCGCACCAGTTCACAGAGGCGCAAGCACGACAGAACACGAGTGAGCTGTGGATCTGCTGCGACGGAAAGGAAGGGACCGAGATCAACATGTACTCAACCAACAACATGGTCAAGGTGAACAGCAGCTTCATCAAGGACAACCAGGTCCAGTGCATCTGCCTGTGTAAAGACCACGTGTGGGTGGGATCACGGGCAGGTATAGACTACGGAGTGATTGACATCTTCAGCGTGGTGACTCGCGATCTCGTGCACAACATCCGCATGCGGGAGAACTCAGTCTCCTGCATTACCTGCTCCAATACACACGTCTACCTGGGCACGCTGGAGGGCTACTGTTTCTCGTTTTCCATCGACATTAAGCAGATTCAGGCCAATGCGAAGCCCCGCTACAAGTACGTCTCAGAGCACGCCGTACAGGGGATCGTCGTCACTAGCAACGCAGGAAACGAGTTTGTCTGGGTCTCCCACACTCGCTACATATACTTCCTCAAGCCCGACAATCTCGCGCAGGAAGGCTCGCTCTACCTAGGAGACACCGAAGGCTACGTTGGGCAGCTGTCCGTGTCGCCCACAGACAACAACACCGTGTGGAGTGCACACATCGGTGGGAACCTGCTCTCGGCGTGGGACGCAACGCACAGGACACACAAGTTTAACATAGACACCACCGACCACATGAAGGGAATAGTTCCAAACATCCAAGACGCTGATATCGTCATTACTGCCATGACGCCGGCGCTGGACACAGTGTGGGTAGGAATGGCCTCGGGGCACCTCCTTGTCTTCTCCGAGCAGGAACTCCTCACCTGGTACCACCCGTACAACGGGTTCATCCGGTTCATCACCGCCATCCCTTGCGCGGGGCCTTGCGAGAAGGAAGAGTGCATGGTAATAACTGGAGCCAAGAACTTCCGCTCCCCCCTCCCCGAGGACACCCCCGTGAAGAGTCAGGAGGACTACCCCAAGCACGACGATAAAGGCCAATCCAGCGACAGTGCTGGTGTGCTTATCCTCTGGGAGGCCTACTGGGCGAGGATGACGAGGCAGATTAAACTCATTGAAGACAAGACCCCTCACTTTTACAACAATCACGATTCGATCCGAAAGATGATCCGTACCCGGGGGCTGGAGTTTAAGGACGGAACACAGCTCCTGAAGGGGAAAGACGTCGACAGCAACAGCGGTGCTGCAAACAGTGCGCCGGTGAGTCTCCTAAACGACCAGTTTCCCCCGGCGACCGACATCACCCAGAGCTATGATACCTTCCAGAATCCCACTGTGGGTACGCCGCTGAGAAACCTGAGGACGGACAGCATTCGAAACGACACCTTCTTCACCGATCGCAGCACCACGCTCAACACGCAGCCCCGCAGCTCCCTTGTCGAGTCGCCCGTCGAGTCGACTCCGACTATTCCCATACAGCCCAACATCCTCTCCCGATCCCGCACCTCTACCGTCAACTGTGAGGTCTTTGACGTCAACATTGTCGCCCTTCACGGCGAGGAAGGAACGGCTGTGCGTGTCACCTGCCCGCGTCCTGCCAAATTAAAAGTTCTCCTGAGTGAGCTCGAAATAAATGGGAACATTCCACAGGGGAAATGCAAGGTGGAGTACCAGGACGAACAGTCGAAAGAGTCGATAAAAGTAACAGCTCAGAAACAACTTGAAGTGTACCTGGAACTTACAAACCGACCGCAGTTGTTTTTATCGCCATGACATATTTACCCCTAGGCAGTTTTGCATGTACAATCCTTTGTCTCGCCCTCCGTGCCAAATGTGTATACATGTGACTTTGTCCATCTTTGTGTGATGTGCGCGCATGTGCGACTACGAGTGGCTTCGTGCATGCGCAACTCGTGCTGCGGGTACCGGGTGCAGCATATGTAGCTGAGCTAGCTGGAAATGGAAAGCGAGCTGGAGTTGGTGTGTCTGGAAAACGGTAGGGGCGTGCGTCTGGAGTGCATTCGAGTAGGAGCGTCCATCACCTCTCTGCAGCTCCCGAACAAGTGAGGCTGAGCGAAAAGATCATTCATAGCACACTTGCCGTGTTCCCTTTTTAGCACTGACGTCGTCTTGGGCTTCAGAGACTATAAAGGTTAGAGTTAGATTACTGCTATCCAACAAAGTGAAGAAGTTTTTGGAATTCCCTCTGCAGACTATCGCACCAACTCTCCATACATCGGCTGTATAGTAGGCAGGGTGACCAACAGAATCAAGGGCGCCTCGTTCACTTTTGACAACAAGGAACACCGCCTCACACCAAATGAAGCACCAAATCACTTGCACGGTGGCACAGTTGGCTTTAACAAGGCATGTATTCGTTTTACTGCATATCCCACGTTTTCCTGCGTGTGTGTATAAACACAAAAGGAGGGGCTTGTAATAACGTCTTCCTTATACTATATACAACTGTGTAACTACACTTCAATATGCAATATGGTACAAATTTTCACTGAAAATTGTTCTATGTTCCATTTAGGTTGTTTGGAAGCTAAAGTCTCAGACTAGTAATGAAGCTGTGTTTGAGCACGCTAGCCCGGCAGGAACAGAAGGTTATCCCGGTACCCTCAGCTGCACCGTGACGTACCGCGTCACGGAGGAGAGTGAGGTCCATCTAAACTACGCGGCCACCGCCGATGCCCCCACCATCGTCTCACTCACTAGCCACACTTACTTCAACCTGGCCGGAAAGGCGAGGCAATTGTTTGCTCCGCATTCTCTGAGTCATGAAAAATATCCCACACACTCTCTTACAGGGCGATATTCTGGATCACGTCCTTTGTATTCCTTCTGACAGGACAACTTATCTGGATGGTAAATTGCACCCATACTGTATGGATGTGTGCATTTTTAAGCTGACAGCATAACAGCTGCAGTTAAGCAGGCACAGACACTGGTCATCTTCCAACTAATAATGCTCATCAAAATGGCGGCGTGTTCTGGTCAACAGGGGAAGTGTCGCCGGTTGCGGGGAAAGAAACAGACTTCCGAGAGCCAGCCGCAATCAGGCAGAAGATGACAGGGGCAGCTACCAGTGGGTTCGACTGTAACTACTCCCTTCTCGAAGTGGAGAAGACCCACAGCCAGCACCCATCACTACGCCTCTGTGGAGGGTCGGTTTACAGAGTCTTTAATGAACAACAGTGTACAATGCATACAAAAATGCAGACCTGCTAACTGTCTGGCCGAGGGAATTCTTTCCATTCGAAAGCTAAATTTCGAGCATTCACACAACGGAAATCCATACATTTTACGCTATATACAAGTCGCACATGCACAAATTTTAGATTGCCTCAAACATGGTTATATGGAAAGTAGTAATCTGTACTATATAGCTGCTTGGTGATATGTGTATTATGCGCATGACCATCCACAGTTTGCAGGACCCGGCCTCGGGGAATGGAGTGGAGGTGTACTCCGACCAGCCAGGGATGCAGCTGTACACGGGCAACTTCCTGGACGGCTCTCACACTGGGAGAGCCGGGGAACCCATGGCCAGGCACTGTGGGGTCTGCCTGGAGACCCAGGCGTGGCCCAACGCCATCAATATAGAGGTCAAACCCCGACAAACAGCTTATTATTCCACTTCAGTGTATTACTCATTCGGTCACGGTCATGTCTGTACGTGTGTGTGCAATCATAACTTCCTTGCTTTGGGTTTCGAAAGGAGCGTTTAGAATGTTGGTCATTATTATGTTTCAATGCAGGGAGCACGAGATCAGGTGATTCTTAGGCCAGGTGAGCGGTACACAGCAAAGACTGTCTGGAAACTAAGCTGGAAGGACTAACAACAGTACTATAATATTGACTTACTGGTGGTCAAATGAACATATTTTTGATACACACAAAATTTACTTGGTGGTAGAGAAAAAATAAGGCAGAGTTAAATCTAAATAATAATAAAAATCTACGTCAACACTAATGAAGATTGCCAAGTTGGCAGACTAAAGATTGAGGCGACAGTCATTATTTAGCTTGCGGGGTGGAGAGATGGTGCAGGAGAAAGCTCTGATGGGGTTAAAAACAAATTCCTCAGCTGGATTCTGAGGGGTCACTTCAGGTCGGCTGGAATTGAAAAACTTCGCGGCAGTGGAGTGCCAGTTGGACTGGAGTCATTTTCTTCCACACCCACATAGAGGTGTCTGGTGGTAGTTTCTGTGGGCGGTTGTCGAAGCTGGTTCAGTGAGAGCAAAGCTTCTTGTCTAAGCACAGCATCATCTAGCTCTGAGATTGGGGGGTCTTCCCCGGGCGATGGAGAACCGTCTTCTTCCACAACGAGAAGAGCTTCGTCGTCTTTCACAATCACCCCGAGTATCTTCTGACCCCTGTCGTCTTCCGGCGGTAACGGGCCACCATCTCCCCCACTGCTATTAGTTGTAGAAACCTCGCTAGTTCCATGTTCAGTCTCCGTGTGTTCATTGCCCTCCACAGTAGCAGAGTCCTCAGTGGAGTGTTCCGTGTTCTCGCCAGCCGTGGCCAGCTCTGGAGGAGGGGAAATGAGATGCTGGAGCTCCAGATCACTCTCTGCCATAAGTCGTATGCGAGACGCCATCTGACTCGCCTGCAACTGCCCGCCACTGGGCCCCTTCGAATCTTCCCCAGTCAATTTACGTCTCTTGACATTCTTCTTTTGGAAGTTTGGGTTATCCCTCATGTTCTCCGAGGGCTCGGTTTGTATCCTCTGCCCCCTGCGAACCAGCCGGAAGGGCAGTCGTTCTTCCTCGCTCCGAGAGAGCTGTCTGCGGAGGTAGTCGGCGATGGCACGCAGGAGCCTCATCGCCATGATCCCGGTAAATCCTTTCGACTCAAGGGTCTGTCTGTCGGTGGAGAGGAGGTCGTGGAAAGTGTGGTAGCCGGCAAGGCGCAGTCGGTACTCTAGTCCAGGGAGGTTGCTGGCCCGGAGAAACACCTTCATGCTGCGGTCCAGAGACAAGAGGTACTTGTGTCGAGCGGTGGCCTGGGATCTAAGTCGGCTCGGTGGGATGAGGGAACCCGGTGCATCTGGTTCTTCACTCTGCGGATTTCTGGGTACCATTTGATGTGAACTGCTATTAGCACCCATGACTCAATGCTGAAAGGTAAAAGACAGAGGCCTCTGATGAAGTATATACAGAACACAGCTGGGAGCCCCACCCACTATTACAGAAGCTAGCTACTCACCAAACGCTCGGCACTCTGGACACGGGCAGTCTTCCTCCGCCGGTGTGATTAACAGTTTCGTCGTCCACAAAACAAACCGGATTCCGTGGGAGATGCGCTTTTATGTGACGCATTCACATAACACAATAGCCTGGCCATACCGCAGTCGGTAGGAACCGAAATTCTAATTAATGCCACTTGACCTCTCGATCGGGTGCGATCCTCCCCCTCCCGCTGACCCCAGTGGCAGTATATACGAGCCGTAGCTCCGCCGATTGACAAGCCAGTCGAATACCTGAGCTGGTTGCGGCTAGAGGCACGAGACGATGAAGAGGTCCAGACATGTCCAGAGTGATACCAGCAGACAAAAGCAAACAGCTCGTTCTGGTGGTCGGTCCTCTGTCCCTTCCCAGGTAACTACACCTCCAACAGGGGATGGAGGAACGTCCTCATCAAACTATCATAAAACTGTAGCTAGTTGTGCGTGTTTCTCTCCAGGAGTGGTGCTAGTGCAGCTGTCACATTGCCAGCTGGAGGTCCCACTCTCCCATCCTCCTCTGAACGGCCCAGAGCCGGTTTGCGAGCACACCAGCTGTTGTCCAGCAGAGCCGAACCACTCTCTACCTCTGTCCCTGCTTCCACTGCCTCCACTTCACCAGAGGCTGAGAGAGATCCTCACAATGAAGGTGTGTGGTCTAAACCATCCTTCTCTCCCCCTTTCTTCCCTTCTCTTCTCGCTCTTCCCTCTCTCTCTCCCTTCTCATCTCTTCACTCTCTTTAGCACATCTTCTACGATGCTCGTTTCTTTTCTTTCGCACAGTTGAGCGACGCAGGAAACTCCGGATATCTCAAAACATCAAGACCCTTGCAGAGACCCTCACTCCACCCTGCCACTGCGGAAGAACTGTTAGTCTTAACACTGACATTTCTACTCACTTGCTTTTCACGCCATACATTTCGAATGCTGTGCTTTTACGAATATCTTTTGATTTCGTGGATGTTTACCGCATGCTATCTACTACTGTAGCTACGTAGTTCGTGTCAGACTCTTCGCGAGCTAAAAGCATACTAAAAGCCCAGCTCATCAACTAGTGGTACTGTGCGTGCGCAGTTCGCCGAGGGTTTGCACTTTAGTGCTTTTCCGTTCTTGGCACAGACGAGAGCGGAGATTCTGGAGATGGTTGTGAACCAGATACAGGAGCTCCAGCAGAAGAACTCTGTGCTAGAGTCACAACTGAAGGACCTGCACCCACCCACCACCACCAGTGAGACTTCAATGTAGAACGAATGCCATGCATTTTGACAATCTATGTAACCCGAGTACTAATTGACCAGGTTGACGCGTGTTTAAAATTACAGACTGTGGTGGTATGCGTGACAGTATGCAAAAATCAAAATTGTGCAATTCGGACAACTCATTGGGCTCACTTTGCTTGTTTTCTCCTTCTTTGTCTGTGATACTCTGTGTCTTAGATAGAGAAGAGTTGAGTCGTCGAGCCATCGTACTAGTGGAAGAGAATCTACGACTTCGAGTGTTGCTCCTTGCTGCCGTCAGCTGTGATAAGTCACCAGACAGGTCTGCGAGTCCCAGTGCTGTAGTCGGGCAGGTGGAGGTGAGGGAGGGAGATGAAGAGGAACCGGGGATGGCGGACGGACTGGGAGAAGGGGGTGCGGAGGAAGCTTCTCTGCCGCTGCCGAGTGAGATGACAGTTGAAGCAGATGGAGGCGTGTGCTCGACTAATGCCGACAGCAGTGTCGACGATCAAGAGAGAGAGGATGTTAGTGGTGCAACCGAGGAGCCGACAGAGAAAGAAACGAGCAGTGGTGGTGGAAGAGAGGAGAGGGAGAAAGGGGGAGATTTAGGGTTTGAGGAGCCAGAAGAAAGAGATGGTCTTGGAAGTGAGAGGAATAGCAGTAGCAACCGAGAGGGAGGAGCAGGGAATGAAGACATTGGTAGTGGAGGAGATGGGGAGCAGGTCGAGGGAGAAAAGGAGCACGACAAACGGATCGAGGTTAGGGAAACGGCAAACACAGGAGAAAAGGAGAACAACAAAGAGATGGAGGTGAGAGAGTTGGCAAACTGGGATGGAGAGAGCTCTGCAGCAGTGGACCAGTCGTGGCCCATATCGTCTCTCCTCTCGGACCAGACTCGGAGCGGCCCACCTCCACCACCACCACCACCGAGGGAGCATCAGATGGCAGCGTTTGGTCTCCCCATCCTCAGCCCCACCTACATTGCCGAGCACTGCTCCACCTCTGGTAGCGACCAGCAGTTCTTTGGTCCAACCACAACTGCTGCTAGTCTGCCGCCAGTCACTTCCTACACCAGCGTTGCAGACACTCGACCCGTCTCATCTCAGAACTCGCCCCTCTTTGCTGGCGGGCTGCCCATATCTAGAGTGACAGAATTCAGTCGCTCACAGCTTGCAACTGTGTCTTATTCGTCTTTGTCAGTGCTTTCCGCGTCGTCTAGTTCTCTGCACTGTTCAAATTCTCCTCAGCAGATCTCTCTTGCTGCATCTCTTCGTCCTCCTCCAACTAGACAGTCAATTGTTCAACCCTGGGTGGGTACCCACTCTTCCAGTGGCTCTGGGCCACTTTCAACATCTAGAAGGAGTTCTGTAGTTTCAAGGTCTTCCACTACTACGACATCACAGACTGCTAATGATCAGCATGGATTGCTTTTACGCCCCCAGCCCGAATCAGCTACAACTCCTAGTCCTGGTTTCCACAGGGGAGCATTGCCCATGACACACCAGGCCACCACCCCACGGCAGTCGAGGTACAGCTCAAGAACTTCTCACTCCATCCCGTCAACGAGAGCGTCTAGAACAGTCTCCAGTCGAGGGCACGCGCACACCCCTTACTATCTCGACCGCAGTCGGCATAATGTCCACCACAACTTGAGCAGTGTTGAGGTTGCATCGGTTGGAGGGTTTCCACCTTCTAGTCAGTCTCTCGGTCATGCTAATTTATCATTTGATGGCAGGGGCCAGTCTTACTGCCCTGGGGGTGTACCGTCCCTCTTGCCGTCTACTGCAGCTCCTTTTCATGGGTATACCAGTGGGCCTATGCCACACCAGTCTCGACAGCCACCGGGCTTTTCCACTTCTTCCATTGACCCTTACTACCACTGTACTGTGTACCAGTCACAGCAAAGCTCTTCGTTCTCTTTCCTCCCCCCGCCTCATGGCCACATTTCACCGGGCTCACGGCACTCCCAGTTCACCCCTCACCATCCCCACCAACACAACTACACCACCCTCCCACCCCCTCCTCCTCCTCCTCCTCACCCTCTCCACCCTCCTCCGTTCCACCACCAGCACCCTCCCTCCCACCAGAACACTGTGTGGAGACCGTACAGCGATCGTCGGCAGACTTCGCTCACGAGATTCAGTCTCTCCGATATTCTCTCTCCCTCCCCCGCCCCCCTGCCCTCCCTCGGTCTCCCTGCCGCAGTGTCGCCTCCCGCTATACATCACCAGCAGCCCAGAATACCCTCCTTCTTTGTCGATCACTTACTGGACGACCTCTGAGTATTGTTATTATATATACAGTCAGTCACCCCAGCCATACTGCAACAGAGCCTTTTGAGCACAGTGTATAGAATATATCTAGCCAGCCTCTGTGTGCATATTCTCATGTATATTATGTACAAAAGTCATTTTTATCGGCATTATTATGAGATTAAAGGAGTTCCACTGCATTCTGCATTCAAAAAGTATTAACCGAAAAATAAGAAAACGAAAATCATGATGGTTCAGCCATGTATGATTTCTCCTCTATCCTAGACACAAGTCGGCGAGCATAAAAGTCTCTGTATTCGTCTGGTAGTTCCTCCAGTGTCTTGAGAGCTCTGTCCAGGATCTGCTGGGCCCTCTGAGCCGGCAGAGGGTCCTTGTTCCCATACGTGTCCCGAGAATCGTACAATTTCTCGTCTAGATTCTGCCAGAATACGTTCACGGCCACGCCAAAGTCAACCGACACGACATTGTGGAACCAGAGGGCAGGGATGAAGAGGACGTCGCCAGGCTCCAGGACACACTCGTGGCGAGTGGCACGAGAGAAGCGAGGGAAGAGGGAGAGATCAGGGCTGTCGATGTCCAGGACTCGGGACTTGTCGCCAGTGAGGTAGAGATTGTTGGCATCCCGAGGGTTGAAGAGGACCACTCTTTTGCGGCCAGTCACCTGCACCAGCAGGTTGTCCATCACCTGTCACAGAGGAGTTAAACACAAGATGTGTGTTGGATCACATACAGCACTTGCATGCACATTCTAATCCCTGTTACAGTGTTTGAATCATGAGAAACATGTGCATATACGAAAAATCTGCATTGAGAAGACTTGCCTCGTGCATATATACCGACAAGACCACTTGATGCAATCTATAAGCACTTGCCTAATGCCTACTAGTCTATGCCATCATTTCCACGTCACAAGGCACCTTGAAACACCAAAATTTGCATGATCAACCAATGTACAGGAGAGCTATCCGTACATCATAGTGGGTCCATAATTGGACGTGGGGAGAGCCGATTCTCAGTACACAGGAGAAGACCCGATCAGAGGAGCAGTAGATGGGTAGGTGAATATCTCCCGACAGCTCTGGGAACTGAGACCTGATGTCTGCCACGTCCTGTGACCATTAGGGAACACAGCACCAATACAGTGTTTTGGAAGGCCAACCATAACATCAGAGTAGACGTAAATAATCCTTATTAAGCCGAGTGTAAAATTTTACGAAAATTTGGGACTGTGCAGTTTACGGATTAAACCAGCCAGCAAGAGAAATCGTGACAGGACTAAGTGTGGCAATACCTTTCTAGGGTCGTCACCGAGTGAACGGAGGTAATACTTCTCTTCCTAACACGAGAAAAACAATTTTGGACCACTACACATGTTTAGAAGGCAATGTCGTTTTTACTGCATTCAGGAAGTATTGCTCGTGTTTCTTCTCATTTGCACGCTTCACCAACTCACTGAATGGTAGTGTCCTGTGCAGAAAAAAACAAATCAATTGACCATAGATTGAATGTGTTCAGTGACTCGCCTGTACACGAAGTTCTTTCTGATGAAGTCCATCTGCGGGACAGGAGACACGTGAACTCTCACCGGCCGCTCCCCGCATTTCTCAGCGAGGTAACCAGGCGTCCAGAGGGAGGGCGCTCGGCCCAGCGGAGCTCCTCGGAGAACTGCAGGCCGTCGGGCGGGATAGACCAGCTCGTGAAACTGGTCAGAAGGCGAAGACGAGTTCAAGTGAACGAGCGGAACTGCTGCAGTCGTTGACATGATTGCGCATGCGCTAAATATTACGTGTGAACGCGCATGCGCTAGACGTATATCTGAAATCACACACATTCATAAGTATAACACGCATAGTGACCCTTTTTAAATAGAAGAGGAAATAATAGACAAGACAACAGATAAAGAGTGCACATGCGGTCGATCCTACCTACACCAGTCAAGTCCGTCCTGTCAGTCTGACACACCACTGTCTCTCTGTCTGTCGTCTGTGAGTGTGGATAAACTGAATAAGATAGAGGTTGGTGCGCGTATGTGTGTGCATGCATTGCATGTATTATGTATGTGTGGCAGCCGAGAGGTCATGTCTTGTTGAGTCGCAGGACGATCTGATTCCGCGTCCTGTTGAGGTGAGCCTTCTGCTGGGAGAGAGGGTTGACAGCTGACGAGGTGGAGGAGGAGAGGTTGCTGTCCGAGAGTTCAGAGTCCGAGTTGAGTTGCTGTGCAACATAGGAAGAGAGAAGCGGAGGGGTTAATGTGGGTATCATACACTTTTGCCGGGGGTTAAACTTTCGTTCTAAGTATGAAATTTCACACACACTGTAAATATGTTTCGTATAAAAAAATTTGGTGCTATATTAATGTATCCGTGGCATATAGTAGCAAAAAAGGCAAACATACATCCCAAAACTTGTTAAATATTCTGTCCTGACATCCAAATTTACTTACATTCACATGTGATGTGAGGACACTGCTCTCCTTTGCATTTGCTTCTGGCAATTCGCTGATTCCACTGTCCTGCAGAGAACGCGGCAGAGAACGCAGCGCACAAAACCAGCAAATACACACACGGCAAACGTTCTACAACACACACACACACACACACACCTTGCTGCTATCGGGGGACGACTGTTGTCTCGACTGGAGTGGTTCCTCTACTACCATAGACACCACCTCTTCCTCTCCCTCCTCCTCCTCTGCTCCACCCTCTGCCTCTGCCTCCACGGAGGCCATGGGGACACTGCTGCTGGTGCTGGAGACTGTGGCCATCGACGCCGTCTGCTGTGAACCGACATCAGACGACGTAACGAGAGGGGCCGAGGTGGTTTGTGAGGGAGGGTGAGAGGAGGAGGAGGAGGAGGAAGAGGTTAGTGGGAGTTTGGGGCTTGGAGCAGGGTTGGGGTAGGGACTGGTGTTAATCACCACCAGAGAATCGTCACTGGATGAGCTCTGAAGAGTGGGGAGAGAAGAGAGCGTGGGATATGAGAAGTGTAACAGAGGTGAGAGAGGAAAGTCAGAGACTCAACACATCGTAACTGGCTACTGGTATATATACCACAAGAGAGACACGTACAATACCTGAGTGAGGCTCTGGCTGCTGACCTCGTCCAGTGTACTGTGATGTAAGGAGCTCACGGAACTGTCAGCATCCTGCTGATTGAACAAATTACATGCTGGAGCACACACAACATGAACACATGTGTACAATATTACATGCTGGAGTATACGTGTGTGTGTGTGTGTGTGTGTACAATACACGTCGAGTACACACAAAGAACCACGGGTTCTCAAACATGTGGGTACATACCTTCTCCGTGCTCTGGTTATCCTGACCGACAGCAGAGGATTTCTGGACTGGTTTTGATCCACTCTGAGACAGTTTCTGCACGAAACTACTGAGGGCACTCTCCAGCTCCTGCAACAACGTCACGTACAGCGGCAGCGAGGGAGAGCTATAGCTCGCAAACCTTCTTGTCCTCTGTGGGTCTCTTCTGCACCAAACTGCTCACAGCAGTCTCGAGATCCTGCAGCAGTGACAAAATTGAACCGTACAGTGTGTGCATGTTGTTCCAGCTAACCAATGATTATACCACACAAAACATCAAGCCACTCTAAAGTTCTACACACCACGTATGTATGTACATACAGTAGGAGATGCAACATGAAATAAGTATAGTACAAGACCTTTTTGTCTTCTGGAGGTCTCTTCTCACTCTTGGGTCTCTTGGGAACGGAGACCGGCGAGAGATCGTCTTCTCTCTGTCTCTGACGCCTGTAGAGGATTGGGGACGGTGTCTCCACTGCCTGCAGGGTGTGGGGTATAGTGGGAGAGACGTGTGTACTTGCCAGTGCACACACATGATTGACTCTTTGGAGCAAGAGATGCAACTGTAGTTTGTTCGCGTCAATTGTCGCAAGAAATCGTAACATAATGCAGGGGGAAAGGCATTGCTTTTTGGTGTGGTCTACTGCCCTGGAGCTATGGCTGCTCCGTAAGTCATTACACGGGGAAGCAGGAAAAACCCCTGCCTGTGAGATTCGAAACCACGGACCTCGTGTTTACCCAAAAAAAGTGCTTACTGACTGCAACAACGCGCTTACTTTGAGTAAGTAAAAAAAAACAATTCGGCTAGTACTGTAACAGGTGACTTACTGATCCAACTGAGCGTTTCCGCTTGCTTGGTGGTGGGAGGAGAGAGGCTGGCAAATACTCGGCCAGCTGCTTTCTGCAACGAATAGGGTGAGAGTGAGTAAACGAGAGAGGTTATAGTAACAGTCATGTTTTGTTTTGTAAGTTCACGGTCTCAGCCTAGGTTCGAGGAGCTACAGCAGGGCAACTAAGTACACAGGGTTCATTGAGAAGTGTCGGGTTAGGATGTGGTATGTACGTGTGTACCTTCTGACATGTTTTACTTCCAGTTCCGTTCCGTTCTCAAGATCCGGGTTTGCGTGACTCACTTTCAACACTGTGTATAACATGAGGTCCACAATATATACAAACACAATGTGATAGAGAGAGGGTTATAGATGGGGGAGTGGAGGCTGACCGGCATTGCTGAAGACCTGAATCTCGTAGGTGATGGTAATATTGACTCCTCCGGTGCTGGGGTTCTTCTTGAACTCCAGTCCAATGAACCACATGGACACCTGCTCTGACCTGCTCATGGAGAGAGAGAGAGGGGGGTGACAATGTCTTTCAGTCAATAGGCATTATCACAAAAGCCAGCAACGGCATGCTCACAGCTTGGGGCGTATGAGCTTTACATTAGTTTTAGCACCTTATGTGTATAAGGAGACGTAAGGTTATGCGTGAAACTAACTCATTTTTTTACAAATGACACCAGGGGTACCAACACTCAATTAAGTAGCCACATATGTAGAAAGAAAAAATGGAGAGGGGGAGAGGGGGATAGGAAAGAGAGAGGCGGAGTATTACAATACAGCGACCAATGCTTGTATATATACGTACTTCTCTCCAGGAGGAGGGCCATAGGCGGTGGGATAGACATGAGCAAGTTCAATTCCATCGTTGAACTCCAGTTTACTGACCAGAATACGTATCTTTGACTCCACCAACCCTGACCTGCATGAGAGAGAGAGAGAGAGAGAAGAGAGAGAGAGAAAGAGGAGAGAGGTGTTTGGGGCAAAGTGTGAGTGACTAAAATGCAACAATACCCTCACCAGAACAAACACAGAGTCATAATCATAACGAACATTCTAACCCCGCTACTATAATTATACACGGTCAACGTGAATCTGTATTCAATGCTGTGTACGTACGTATGAACACACACTCACCATTTGATGTGGTGTTCAACAGAAGACGACTTGGCACAGATGACAATGTAATGCCTGCAGAAAGAGAAGCAAGAACAGAGAGCACGTTCGGTGGGCATATTGCAACTCACTCACACAGCGCCTGTGTGTGCATGCGTGCATGCATCTGCACTATGTGTGTGTGTGTGTGTATTATTGCCGAGCGGGAGCGAGCCAACCTAGTCGTTCGTTCGAGTGGAATTTTCTGTGTATATATATATATATATAATATATGCATTCGTATGTCGTGTAAGTGCGCATGCGCGTCTTTGTACGCGCTTCTTTTTATCCGAAATTATTTCAACTCTCCTCCATTCGACGGAATGCGCTCGAACCTTCGGTGACTGACCGAAGCTGTATATACCTCTTCCCAATCTTCATGGTTCCAAGCTGCAACTTGCATAATACGCTAGGGCACATACTGCTGCATGCCAGTTGCAAGGTGGACCACGACTGACGAGCTGAAAGCGTAAGGTAAGTACCGTTCTGCTCACCTGCTCACCGTTCTGGCAATATACAGTACACATGTAGATAACGGCGACAGGTAGATCTGTCTTGCTTCACGAAAAGAAAGTTGTGCGCTGACGGCACATTATGCAGCCCGAACATCGCGGTCAAATCCCAAGTTGGGTCGCTCCCGCTCGCCAACAATGTTCAACATTCTTCTAGTAAAGATCTTACTTGTAGAGACCGAAGAAACTGAGCGGCTCAAACAGATCTTCCCACTTTTTTCTGTCCAGAGTTATGTCGGTACACACGTCAAGTCCTGTGTATAAATATCCGTCAACCCTACTGAACTCACACGGCAATCAACCTCTACATAGCGGTAAGTACATATGTACATAATTCATTTCCACCATACAAACTGTCCTCTCCCACAAGTTTGAACTGTTGTCAGTTGACTATAATATCAACACTCCCTCATAGTTTCCTTTATCAGGTAGTACACTTATGTACCTCTGTTGAACTCTTTTATCATGATGGAGCGAGTGGAGTAGGTGACGTTGAATGTAGAGTTCTGTGCCGGATAGGCTGGTGTTATGATGGGCATTAAATGGGCTCGATCCGAAGGATTCACCTGCAAAACAGGCGTCGTAGCACAGAAATGAAGTACATACACGCGACCGTTAGCGACTCTGCTTACTTTTGGGTCCCACTGAGGCAGCTTCAATTCCAGCAAATCCTCGTCCATCTTCTTCAGTAGGACAGGCTGGGGCCACTCCCTACAATCACAAAACGATCACTCGTATTTCTCCGGAACTCTGAATGCGAGAGCTAGTGTAACGTCGGCAGTAGACAGTAGACACACAGCACAGGACATAGATTTTCATACATACAGTAGCACAGCATTGTGAAACACTTGATAATATTAGGCACTGTTGTACGTACAATGTACATACCATCTCTGAAATATGAAGAAGAACTTGAGAACAATGGTGGAGGCAGCCGCGTTGGGGTAAAGCTGGCAGGTCCGGGCCACAAGCATGGCCCACGACACCCCGCCCAGGTACCCCAGAGCATTGGAGTACACCCCGCGACCTGAGGGGGGAGAAATGGAGTTAAGTACTCGACTTGATTGTGACTAACTCAGTGATGGAACTACAGGGCACATCTCTATACTGTAGTATATACACTTAGTGAGGTAATGAGAGAAGAAATAAGCATTCCTTTGATGTGGAGAAGCTTTAATTCCTCCAATTACACCACACCCAAGACACAGACAAGTGGTCTATAGGTTGACACTAAGTCTGCCTTGTGGTTTGGTACAGAGACAATCACATGACTACTAACGAACGAACAAACGACTAACGTTTGGCCCATAGTTTGATGGCCCTGAGAGCCAGTCGGAAGCTCTCCTGGTTGGGGACGAGGCTGAGAATGGCGTCGGTCACACGGCAGCCGTTGAGACTACGGACGGACTTCTGGTCCAGGTTCTTGAGGAGGGAGGCGTCCAGGAGGTTGAGGTTGTCTGCCACGCTCGGGAAGGACAGCCGAGAGAACAACAGGTCCATCTGGGAAGACAGAGACACATGGTAGACACAGAACAGAATGGTGAAAGAGACTTTTAGTTAGAGTGAAGGAGTGTACAGTGGGACCCCACTCTAAGGACACGAAGACACCTCTCTAACAACAATTCATTTTCCTTCCCAAAGAACAGTTTCATGCATGCAATAAGGATGTCTCCTTATCTGTTTTGCCCATTTTTGGCCGAATTATAGGGGTTCCCCGGTTTGGCTCACCTCTACTCCATCAAACTCCAGCTTTATCACAGGCACATATGCCTCCTCCACAGCCTATGTACACATGTACATACATACATACAGAAGAGTATAGGATGAAGTGATCAGCAGAGGCTGTGAGGGGTCACAGGTGAACTCACTCTGATGTTGGTGATGGACTTTTCCTCCTGTAGCATCTCAATGAAAGAGGAGAAGAACTCTGAGCGATCGACGTGCCGTGGAGCCACCAGAAGAGTATCAATATCAGCTCCTAAGAAAGAGAGGGTGTTCCTTCTATGCAGATGAATGGGAGGGGTTTACCCTTCCCGTGGACTCCCAGGCGGTATGAACCAAAGGTGAAGATCTTCCCTCCAACCTCTTTGGCCTCCTGCTCCGTCTTGCCCTGTACGATTGGGAGGAAATAAACTGAGAATAGCAGCAACCACAAGGACACTTCACAAGACCTCTCACACACACACACATACGTATACCAACCTCACTTCCTACTAGCCCACAACCCTTATACATACTTTAGGTGGGGGTGGATTACCTTTCTCACGCTGACTTCGTAGATCCATTTTTTCATCAGCTCATTGAGCTGCCCCAGTACCAGCAACCTGGGGAGATGAGTGTGCACAATGGGTGAACAGTCGATCACATGCAGTGTAGCTTTAAACTACACCGCCATGCCCACAATTCTACAGAGAACATCACTAATGCATGGACTATGTATAGGTTAGATGCTGAGCTGCGGGAACTACGCGATTTAGTGAGCCGAGGGCCCTGGGCTGTCGGCGTCCCGAGCGCAGCGAGGGCACTACTACCAGGGCCCCGAGGCTCACTAAATCGCGTAGTTCCCAAGGCGACGCATCTAACCATCTTAGACTACAGCGCAGGCGCTAGCAACGCACAACAAAGCACGCGGCATTGCGGATGGATGGCTTACTGGGGTCACCGATTATGAAGCTTTTGCTGAGGACGAACTGGAAGTAGGCAGGCTATTTGCAGCGGCCAGCATCCATTTCGAGCAGGCGTACAACAGTAGAGTGTTTGTTCTAGGCGGCGGGGCTCGCTAACGCGAAAGTAGGCGGGGCCGCTGGGTGCTTCTCGCACCGCTAGCGTGCGCGTCTGGCTCGAGCTGTAGCTAAGGCCCTGTAGTCAGGCACCGCTTCCTTCTAGAAGACGGAGTGCCTGGGTTTTCGTGAGAAAGAACCTCTCCAGAAGTTCCGTTTGCCTTCGGCTCGCACGGCGTCTCTCGAATTGAAGGCGTGGTTGCCATGGCCAAAACGCGTAAGAACATCACTGATGCATGGACTATATAATATAGAACACACGAGTCTTTTTGGAACATGTCTGTCATGATAATAGGCTTCTCTCACCGGTGGTCCTGTCCGTCTTTGGAGTCAAACATGCCGTGAGATCTCAGACAGGTCTCCAGGTGAGAACTAAGGCGAACATCCTACAGTCAATATGACGTGTGTGTGTGTGTGTGTGTGTGTGTGTGTGAAGAGGTGGGTGGATGTAAGGGTGTGGGAAAGGCAAGGAGAGTATATACTGAAATAAGTCACTAAATACACAACAGTTATCCAAGAAACAGGAAAAGGAGGATAAGGGGAAAGTTCAAGGTTGGTTATAAAACATGATGTAGTGACTGGGCAAACTTTCAAATCACTAGTGAATGCAACATGCCATTTCTACTAGATCCACATAAAGAGGTTGAACACTACTATGACTAAACATAAAGCCCAAATCCCTCTCCCCTCATCCTACAGTTCTCCCTCACCCTGGCTGTCGGTCCCGCAACGCTGATGGGAGACGTCACTCCGAGGTTGGCACGCTGGGAGCTGTGGGGAGATATTCCATTTAGAGCCCACCATTATCGAAAAGCCACACCACACAAACTGGTAACCCAAATAAAGCTGGAGGAACACTATCGCGTCCACACGAGATACATACGGCAGTTACCCTAGACACGCCTCTGCTGGCGCGTATCGTACTTGACTTGCCTTCCTTGAGAGGCCATGTCCGGTAAGAAGACGGCGGCGTTCCGGAGGCAGGCTTAGGGCCGGCGAGATTATAGATGGCATCAAGCCTTAGAACCACCAGCACTCACTCAAACCACGCAGAAACATAGGGAAACTACAACTGACGTCGCCCTTATACCACGGCGGCTCTGCCGCGCCGCCGCCTCCCACTAATGCGCATGCGCGCTACACCCTAAACTGGGCGTGTCCACAAACGAACGAATGGGCGTGCGTGTGATCGTCTTTCTCTGCTGTTCTCAGAGAGTCTGGTAACCGCATTTTGCTCGATCAGTGCTAGACGGTTAGAATGGCGTCCGTACTGGATCGGCCGAAGCTGATGACCGAAGGTGAGCTGGAAACTATGCATGTGCATGCAACCTAAACCGCGCGTGTAGGAGGGGGGCGTAGCTGGAGCATTCAGCGTGAGTATATATCTCCTCCTGCAGGCGCTGCTCCCAAGGACGGCGTACCGGACATGACCGTCATCAGCGATATCGACGAGTTCGGCATCAACACGAACCTCAAAGTCCGCTACGGGAGAGACCAGATCTACGTGAGTCTGCAATTGTGCACTTGCATTATATATAGCAGCTATCAGACTATGCTCCAACTGCAGACTTACTCTGGTACTATTCTCGTGGCCGTCAACCCGTACCACCAGCTAAAAATCTATGAAATGGTAAGCCGCATAGCCCACACTACATACATTGGGAAAACCCTGACTGCATCACTCCTTGAACAGGACACTGTCAGCAAGTACAGTGGAAAGAAGATGAGTCACATGCCTCCCCACGTCTTTGCAACAGCAGAGGCTTCCCTGGACTACCTGCAGCACCAGGGCAAGAACCAATCCTGCATCATCAGTGGCGAGAGTGGGGCCGGGAAGACAGAGACGACCAAATTCATCCTCCAGTACCTCTGTGCGGTGACTGAGAGCGTCACTCAGTGGGTCGAACAGCAGATCCTAGAGGCAAACACTGTTCTTGAAGCCTTTGGTGAGCTGAGTCATAACCACATCAATGATACGTTACAAAACCAGCCAAACAGTATGCATGATTTCATGATTCTGTGATACTTCTACTTGCACTAGTGTAAGTTTGTGTTACTCTGTCATATAGGCAATGCAAGAACCGTCCGTAATGACAACAGCTCTCGCTTTGGAAAGTTCATCCAGGTTTGCTTCGACAACCGTTTCCAGATCAGTGGCTGCATCATTCAGGACTACCTGCTGGAGCTGTCTCGAATCGTGTTCCAGTCCCGCGATGAGAGAAACTACCACGTCTTCTACCAAATGATTGCTGGTCAGCACATGTGTGTGTTGGTGTGTGCAGCTAAGGAGGTCGAGACTGAGAGGAAGCGTAGTCTAGTGGTGGCTGACATTCACTGCTCCTCCACAGACATTCCAGCCCATGTTTCTACTTGCAGGCCATACACTGTTTGAAGCAACCTTTGAGGGAGTGGGGGAGGCTGGCTTGAGAGGTTCCGGTCATAATTATGCTTGACTCCCTGGACTTCCAATTAATATACACGTGGTCCAAATCCCTTCTCCGTGCTCTTCTCTCATTTGGCATTGTTACTTCAAGGTCCTTTCTTACACCTGGAGTTTCTATCACCATTTTTAGGGACCACAAATCCTCTTGCATGCAGCTACACGAGTTTATCTTTCTCAAAAGGTGCCATGGCCAGCTCAGAGCTACGGCACAGACTGATGCTGGAGCCTGCCACGTCGTTCCAGTACCTCAATCAGAGTGGGTGCTACACTCTCGAGGGAGTTGATGATGCAGCCATGTTTGACCAACTCAGACTAGCCCTCCAGGTATGTGCATGCAACTAATCTCTATGGTAAGGCAACAAAATTTATAACTGCGCTTATAGTATTGTCATAAAGATGTGTACTAAAAGATAGAACCAAACAATAGGTCTCAGTGCAAGAATCTTTCGGTAACAATGGTCATTCTATACTGCCATATTCCCGGTGAATACACACCATAGCCTGCACAGTGCATCTCCTTAATTTGAGCAGTGTATTGCTATTATCAGTGCTGCTGTTTCTCAAGGTGCTGAATGTGTCTCCCGACATGTCAGACAACCTCTTCCAAGTCATATCGGCCATTCTGTGGATTGGGAACCTGAAGTTTGAGGACACGGAGAGCGAGGCTTGTCGACTGACGGGGGCCGACCGCGCGACTGTGAGGAGGATTGCTCACCTGCTGGGGCTGGAGGAGACTCAGGTGGTCAAAGTCTGCACTCACGTCAGATCACGGTCAAGGGAACCACCACCGACATTGCCCTCAAGTACCACGAGGTTTGCTCGATCCCTCCTTGAGTATTATGTCTTTTCATTATGCTGGAGTCTTGTTTTCACCCTGAGCTCGAATCGGCCAAGTACACTGGTTCAATAAAATCCCAAAACCAGTTTTATAATACACCTGCTAACCATTAGACATTAGAGCTAAGTCCAAAGTATAGTTAAACAGGATCCACATTTCTACTAAGTAATTTGTATTATCTCCATTGACACGTGTATATAATATAGGCATGTGAGAACAGACATGCCATGGCCAAGGCCCTCTACTCGAGGACGTTCACCTGGCTGGTAAACCAGATCAATTCCTGTACCAACCCAGGCATCGACTCCCAGAGGTTCATCGGGGTCCTGGACATCTTTGGCTTTGAGAACTTCTCTGTGAGTGTGTGTGTGTGTGTGTGTGGACCATTAACTGGGTGTGGTGTACAAGTTGTTTACATCATATTAAATTCATTGTGGATGACCTTGCCACCAATGAATACGTTTGCAAATAATTCCATTAGTTGTTTGTTGTGTACAGTTTAGCCCCTGCTATTAAAGGTCGTGTGAGTAACTACAGCGTCCTCTTCCCTCTGTCTCACAGACAAACTCTTTCGAGCAGCTCTGTATCAACTTTACAAACGAAAAGCTGCACAAGTTCTTCAACCACTACGTCTTTGCTCTGGAACAACAAACGGTATACATCCCCAACTTTATACACCCAGCTTTGTATGCGCACTTTAACACAGGAGTCTCAAACATTAATGTCTTTGACTAAAACTGTACATGTATAGCTATGTCAAAATATTGGTCACAGTACAAGGAGGAAGGGATCAAGTTCTCACACATCACCTTCACCGACAACACAGAGTGCCTTGAACTTATCGAAAAACCACCAAAATGTGTTCTCCGTCTGTTGGATGAAGAGTGTCGCTTTCCTCGGGTTAGCCAGTACACCATCCAAAGCTCAGATTCTCCATTCATGCAGTTTTTGAAGCAACAGTTTTTTAGCTCATATCGTGTATGTCGCTCACAGGGCACTGATCAATCGTACCTGGAGAAACTGCACCACGAGTTGGGCCGACATCCTTACTTTGTGAAGGGAGCAGACAAGAGGCAGTGGACCATTGAGTTTGGTGAGCAAAACACATACATCCAACCATAGAGTACGGTGGATCTAATAATGTTCTCTCTTTCTCTACTACTTCTCTGTACCAGGTGTACTCCACTATGCTGGGCCGGTGGTGTACAAAGTGAATAGGTTTCTGCAGAAGAACAAAGACGTGCAGCAGGACATGTTCTTTGACTTCCTAGAGATCTCCTCCAATCCCTTCTGCAGGGAGATTGCCAGATACAGAGTAAGACAATGTGACGATCTGTGAGTAAGCTATATACACACTGACACTTTTGTTCCACAGGACCTTTTGCTCTCTTACATGGAGTCAGCAGCAAAGAAGGCCACCAAGTCAAAGAGCCTTATAACTGGCACAAAGAGTGGAAAGGTAGCTACACCCCAAGTGTAATATGATACACAATGACTCATGTGTGATTGCATGAATACTCAGGGAAAGCCTACTGTAGGTGACACATTCAGAACACAGCTACTGGCACTGGTTGACATGTTGGACATCACAACTCCATGGTATGGAAGTATACTAATAACGCTTTGAAGCTCTATCGACCTTAATAAGAATGGAGCATTACTAGATAGACTGCATCACTTTTTTTTCTCTACAGGTATGTCCGTTGCCTGAAGCCAAACCATGACAAGGCCTCCAAGTTCTATGACGACGACCTCATCATCTCTCAACTGCGCTACTCGGGGATGCTGGACATTGTCAGGATCAGGAAAGAGGTTAACTGTAATCTCCTTTCTACATTGTTCTATATAGCAAAGACCTTTGATACTTAGGAAGATACACGCTTGAATTAGAAGCCTATTGCATATGCTCAGATTAATATTCTCCCATTCCTTGATCAGGGGTACCCAGTTCACGTCCCAGCAAGAGAGTTCCTTGCCAAGTACCAGTGCCTTGCAAGTGGTGGCAGAGACTCGCTCCCTCCGGATCCCAAACAGGCAGCTCGAGTCATCCTGTCCTCGCTCAAGGTCCCCGAGACCGAGTGGCAGGTCGGCAAGACAAAGGTGTTCCTCCGACACACTGTCTTTGAGCCACTCGAGATCCGGCGACGCAAGTACCTCTCCAAGAATGCGCTTCTCATTCAGAAGGTCTGGAGAGGGTACTGTCAGCGGAGGAGGTTCATTAGGTTGCGTTGGAGTGCCATAATTATCCAGAAGAACTTCAGAGGTAGTCGACTGAGGATTCATTTCGTGAGGATGCGCAGGGCGGTGGTGGTGATCCAGGCACACTACCGAGGGATGCTGGCGAGGGAGTTTGCAGTCGCACTCCGGAAGAAGAGGGCAGAAGAAGAGGCGAAGAGGAAGCGGTTGAAGAGGCTTGAAGACGAGCGAAGGGCAAAGGAGCTGGCCGAAAAGACCATGGAGGAGTCGTACAGGGAGGCACAGAAGGAGCTCCTGACACTGGCCAAGATTGCAGAGCACCGCATCAAGAAAGCCGTGAAGAACACAGGAGAGGTTGACCTGGACGAGATGTTCAAATTCCTCGCCGACGACCCCAAGAAAACATCGGGGAAAGAAGAGACAAGTTTCCTGGCCAGTATCACCGAAGACTTGGAACAGATGTTCCAAAAGGCCGATGCTGCTTCTGAGCCGGCGAAAAAGCCGTCGCGTCCGGCACCCCAGGCCCCCGCTCAGGCGGCAGGGAGAGGAGGAGAAGGCCAGAGACCTCAGCCATCTCTCTCGCGGACCCAGCGACGCCAGCGGAGGGTCATGAAGAAACTGCTCGGTGTGGAGGACGAGATGGCAAGGAAGGAAGAGGCCTTTGACCCGAGCGCATATCCAATGATCAAATTTGCCGAGATGTATTTCAACGACTTCCCCAAGGACGCTGGTGGGTTCAGCACGCTGAGTCTCAGACGAGCCCCCAAGATAAAGAACCCCATCCTAAAGGCTGAGATGCTGACCTACACGGGGAAGGCAAACATCCCGACATCCCTAGTTCACATGCACGACCCGGAGAACGTTAACATTGCCTGCGGGATCTTCAAAGACCTGTGCAAGTTGCTGCGTGGGGACCTGAAGCAGGACCAGTACAGTCTCACCATCCAGAGCACCATTGCCTATGGCATCGAGCGGCCTGAGCTGAGGGACGAAATCTTCTGCCAACTCATCAGGCAGGTGACCGAGAACCCCAAGGACGAGGCCGTTTTCAGAGGCTGGCACTTCTTGGCTCTCTGCACCATTGCCTTCCCTCCCAGCAAAAACTTCAACAAGGTCTGCTTCGTATTTATTCTACTGCGGTTGCTATAGTGCTCATGTTGATGGTAAACCTCGAGCAAAATTAGGTTTCCAGCAGCTAGAAATGATACAATACCCACTGATGCAGGATTGATTTTTTGTTGTTCATGTTGCAGTACTTGCAAGCATTCTACCAGTTGAAAACAGACGACCGTCTTATAGGGAGGTATGCCGACTTCTGCCTCAAAACCATAAGACAGACCAAAGCCAGTGCTCGCCGCTACCCTCCCTCCTCCATTGAGATAGCCGTGAGTCTTAGCACCAACATCTCTAGCTGGTGTGGGAGAACCCCTCCACTGATTGATATTATAATTGTCTACAGGCGGTGAGGAATCTGAACCCACTCATTTGCCGGTTCTATTTCCTGGACGGGAAGGCCAAGGCAATGGGAGTGAGCCCCACCTCCACGGCCACTGATGTCATCAGAGCCCTGGCAGAGAAAATTGAGCTACAGATTGTGGATGGGTGGGCACTGTATGAGGTACGTAGCTATAGCTACTCCAGAGAAATAGTGCAATGGTTTTAGCTATGCCTAAGTGAGCTAGATATGAAAAGAATGTGCCAACAAGAAGATGTGGTATAGTGAAATACAAAGAACATTTACTCTGTGGCTATAAAAGGTTGTTTTAAATCCCCACCTCTCCTCTGTTCCAGGTGAATCCCGAAAGAGAGCACTTTATCAAGGGCCACGAGTACATAGCAGACGTCCTGGCTCAGTGGGAGAGAGACAGAAGATCCTCCATGACCATGACCAAGTACACCACCGTCTCGCACAAACCCAGCTACACTGCTGCACTCGGCGGAGGTGACAGCAAGTTTGTGTTCCGAAAGAGAATGTTCCGACGGCCCAAGGAGATCCCAGAAGACCCTGTGGAGTACCATCTCATGTATGCCCAGGCTGTTCACTCAGTTGTCAAGGTATGAATTTATGTACGTGTGCACATTAATTCAGGGTTTAAAATGGCACAAATTTTGCAGTAATCTCGAAATAGATCGAGTGTTGTAAATCACGGCTCATGCTTGTCAGAAAGAGACGAAAAAAGTGTTTCAGCTCAGAGTCTGTTCTTCCTCTCCACAGATTGATGAGTTTCCAATCAACCAGGATGTGGCTCTGCAGCTGGCAGGACTGCATGCACAGGTCCTGTGGGGGGACCACGTGCAAGGCATGGGGTCTCGCTACGACGAGGTGGAGCAGTATCTCCATCCTCGCATAACTGCAGAGGATCGCAACAAGACTCGTGAGGACTGGAAGAAGGCCATCGCCGTGGCACACAAGGTGAGACATGGCAGTTGTCCTTACACATAGTTAGCAACCCAGATAAACTGTACATACCCCTATAATTATTGCTTTTAGCAAAGAGATGTGCAAAAGTCTTAGAAAGCTAGAATAATCTCCCCCAATAAAAAAATTCACACTTAGTAGCAGAAGCATAAGCAGGAACTTACCTATTAATTCTCTAATGTTCCACAGTCCTATGGGATGGGTAAGACGGTGATCGAGGCCAAGGTGTGGTACCTGAGTGCAGTCAAATACTACCAGCTCTACGGCTGCACTTTCTTCCACGTCATCTACAAGGGATTCTGGGCCCATCCCAACAACCTCATCCTGGCCGTCGGAGTGAAGGGAATTGCATTTGTCAACCAGAATACTAAGATTGTACGTACAGAAGTCTAAGTTTCACTCAGTTATGTCAGTATAGTGCCTATATGCTGACATACAATGTGCCAATGTGAACTAAATCCTGGTTGAAAGTAGATAACATCAATTGCTAGGAGTCTAATATACTAAACTCTGTTTCCTACTGTTACACAGATTATGGCGGAGTACAAGTACTCCCAGCTGCAGAGTGTGGCGGTGGGCATGGTAGAGGAGACCGTCACTCTCAACATGAAGGCCATGGGTCAGGGCGAGCAGAGGAACTTCAGCTTCGAGACGGAGCAGAAGGAGGACATTGCCAGTCTCATTGCCTCGTATTCACCAGCTCATGGGAACTGGCAGAGGGTCGGGGAGGCCAAGACCAAAATGGCGAGCAGAACGTTCAGTGTACACTACCATAGTTGTCTTGCTAGCCTTACCTTGTTGTAGTTGAATTGGGATGTCTGTCACAATAGTTGCTCCAAAAGCTTCTACAGTATAGCTCTATTACCACTCAGTTCTTTGTGAGCTAAGCTGTTGTATACTGTGTGGTGCAGGTACAACCTACCGAGGAGGAGAGAGCGACACTGTGGCAGGAGGTGTGGAAGTGTCGGAAGGCACTGGCAGTGGAGCACAAGATGCTGCAGGAGCCTCCGGAGAAGGCAAACTTCCTCACAACCACACTCAGGAGGTGGGCTAACAACTTCAGAGATTACTACTGAACTGAGTGGATGTTGGAGAAATTGTTATTGCTCTTTTTTCGGTGGCCACTGCTTATGCGAAAGCCTTCAAAAAAAAAATTGACACTTTTTAAAGGGGTACTGCACATCACAATGTTGTGTCACTTACATGCAATACTTTAGTCTTGATTCCTACACCTCCAGGTACAATCGAGCGCGGCTGGAGAGGCTGCGGAGAGCTCGCGAAGGGGCTGACTTTGAGAAGATCTTCAAACAGTCGTTCTGGTCCTACAGCAAGAGCATGCTGAAGCAGCCGCTCTCGGTCCTGGAGGGAGAGAAGGGAGACGAACTGGAGGACACCGCCCTCAAACTGTTTTACACCATCCAGCAGCACGCAGGTTTGAGCAACTTCAGAACCTAACAGGGCAGCTAAGAAAACAAGTTGGCAGCTTCATGAGATAAAATTAAACCAAAGGGCAGCTAAAAAGGGCAAGGTGGCAGGTTAAATCGTTAATCCAGGGGTAAAGGAGAGGCATAAGCTAGGGTCAGCTACATAAAATGAGATGGAGGGAGTTAATGATTTGAACAACTACATATTTTCTGTGTGCAGGAATCACACCATCAAGTGGGTCAGGGTTCATGGAGGTGGAGGCTGACGACTGTGTGACGATGATTCAACTGGCCACTCAGAAATGTCTGGAGAAAGAGGCTCTCTGCAACGAGTTCTACCTCCAGCTCGTCAAACAGACCACTGACCAGCCAGGTGAGGTGCTCCTACACACGTACAATTTAGATTTCTACTGAGAATGTATGATAGGCATATTATGCTAGACAGACAAGTGTGCAAAATCAATTTCGTCCCTACAGATCCGAACGGTCGAATCAACATTCAGAACTGGCGGTTCATGTGTCTGACGTGTGGGGTGGTGGTACCACGAAACAAGGTCATCCTCAACTACCTACAGGCCCACCTGCGACGCTGCTCTCTGGACCCTCACACGGACGAGGGGAAATACGCTCAGTTTGCAATGCAGGTGAGTAACCACACAGCAACTCTCCATGTTGGCCCAGTCTCTGTTGTGTATTTGTAACTGGAGTATTGTTTGTTGTCACACGCGTCCAGTGCTTAAACAGAACTATAGGTGCAAAGAACAGGAAATACCCTCCTTCTTATAGAGAAGTCCAGTGCATCATCAGAAGGTATGTCTACAGAGTGAAAAACCTTGAGAAACTGTCTAAACTCTGTCACTCTGCCGCCCACAGACGACCAATACACGAGCGTTTCTACTTCATGGACAGTCAGTTCAGAGGCGTCGAGTTTGATGCTTCAGCAACTACACAAGAGGTAAAGTTTTTTTTACCATACCCTGAATCCTAACCCTGAAGCACACACAGATAAATAACGCAGCTGTACATAAATTTTGCAGTGTGAGAATTGTATTATACCACAAGGAATAGCACACTGAATTTTCAAAGGGTGTTCATGTAAGCACATCACGCCAATAAAAGATCTAAAGAGCCTGCAATGCTCTGCCACTTACACAGAATTTGCTTCAATAAAGTTTTTTTAACAGCCTGCACACGCTTTGAACTTGCCCAAATCTCACAGCTATGATACTTGTATACATACAGGTGGTGGCAGTGGTGAAGGAGAGGATTGGCCTCCTTCCGAGGGCAATGGGATTCTCGCTGTTCGAGGTCTTTGGTCAGCTGGAGAGAAACATGCTGCCCAACGAGAAGGTGGCCGACGCCATGTTCAAATGGGAGAAGTACGCGAGGAGCACGCACTCGCCCAAAACACTCAAACTCACATTCAAAGTAAGAAAGGGTTGCTGCGTGTGTTTGTAGTTCATGCTGTTGTTTTTGTGTGTCTGCAGAAACGGCTGTTTGTAAAGCCGTTCATGAATCCAAATGACTCGATAGAGTTCAGACTCCTGCTACACCAGGTAATACATGGAGCAGTCGTGTAGTGAGATATACATTTTCCATCTGGGCTGCAGAGTACTGGAGTTGAATGTACAAGGCAGCTTTTAGTGCAGTAGACATCAATTGTTAGCCTATAGGTAAATTGATGTCTGTGTTCTGTGCAGGCTATTGATGATGTGGTGAGTGACCGGTTCCCACTGTCTCTGTCAGAGGCAGTCTATCTCGCTGGTCTCAGAGCACAGGTGGTCCTGGGACCATACAGTGAACGAATTGACCTGGTGGACTATCAGTGAGCCCCTTGCAACATACAGCCTTGTTCGCTATACTCACAATCTGAAGGGTCTAGCTTCAATTTAGACAGTCGTATAAACCAGATGGTAGGGGGGATGTGTGTGCCCCCTTTTATCACAATCTGCACGTTTTATTAATGGTCAGTCTATAAGACCTCAACGTGTTTTAGTTGTCAGATTATAACAAGCCTTCTTGATATGTTATGTTATTCACAAACCTGAAGCATTACTCGTGTTCATTGTTTGTAGCTCCATCATCGAGAGGTACGTACCAAAGTACATGAGGACGAGGGCCCGCCCCGAGGACGTTGCCCGCAAGCACCGCGACCACGGAGACCTCTCCGAGCAGGAGTGCAACGAGAACTACTTGTTGTTCATCCGCCAGTGGCCGCTCTACGGCTCCACCATCTTTGACGTCCTCCAGGGCTACACGGGAACGCTGCCCAAGAACCTGTGGCTGGCGGTGAATGAGCACGGGGTCCACATTCTCAAGAGACGAGAGAAGGAACCGCTCGTGAGCTACGAGTACAAAGACATTGTCAACTACAGGTAGGAATCTCTGCATTCATGTATTGTTAATGAAATTATCAGTAGGGTGTGTGTGTGCAATCTTCGAGGTATAATACAAGTTGAGACAGCTTCTCCCTGAGCTATATAGGCTCTGTAAAGAATTCACCATCACCACATTAGCTTTACAAATCACTAAAGTAAAAGCCATTTTGAAAGTGGATAATATCTGGTGTCCTTCTTCCCCACTAGTCCGTCTCTGAAGAACCTAATGATTGTGACTGAGAGCCTCACAAAGGGAACCAAGTTTGTCTTCAACACCAGTCAGGTGAGGCCCCAAAAAAGTTTTTTTAAAACTTGCTCAAACATAATTATTTTGCTGTAGGCATCGCAGATAGCTCACCTGATACGAGACTACACGCGCGTGATAGTGGAGAGACAAAGACTGAGTCAGAGTGGCTATTCCAGACGACCGCCTCGCTAGAAACACATACACACACTACATTTTTAACCAAGACTAACACTGCTACACTTTTCGTCATTTTGTATGCTGTTTGATTCGCATCAGTGCGCATGCGCGCGTGGGAGTTGCCAAAGATCATGGCGGTGGAGAAGGGGGCGGATCTGGACGAGCTGTTCGGCTTCTTGTCCGATACGGGGAGTGGTGGGGATGAGGGGCCGGGCGGCGGAGGAGTCGGGAAAGACGAGCTGGACTTTGTGGACAGCATCAACCAAGACCTAGACACGATGATCGGCAGCGAGGTCAGCGGTGGCAGCGCTCCGCCGCAGAAGGAAGCTGCTGGTGGAGTGCAGAGCAAGAAGACTACCGGGAAGAAGGCAGGGCCGTCAGCTAAAGTTCAGCCCAAGGCGGACAAGACGAAAGCCAAGAGCAAATTCAAGTGGAAGAAATAGGAGTGACATAACTTAGCAATCAAAGTCTTGTGATACAGAATGTTTCCTTTGTGAAAAATATTTATTGCAGCCCAATGTGTATAGAGTTCCAAGATAATTGTTATCGTGGTCCAGGAGGAGGTCTCTACATGTAGAAGTCAAAGTCTCCATGGTCGTCTTCTGCAGTCGGTGGCTCTATCCCTGAGTTGTCGAGACTGGAGTCATCTGATTCCCAGAATCCTGCACAGTAAATAAAACTAGCCATAGCTACCATACTGCCTTCAATATACTGTGTCCCAGTGTGTCACTTACTAACCGTGTCTCTTCTGGAGGGTCTTTGACTCTGTTCTGTGCTGCCTGCAACAAGACAAACAATCACGACACATTATTGCTACCATTCCTACTAGGTATACTGATATACCTTACCTTTCTATGACTGAAGGGGTATAAGAAGGTTTGTGTGGTGAAAGAGAGCTATCACTACCGCTGGCATCTAGCTGTCCCTCTCCTTTCACTTGGTCACTTCCCACCTCAGGAATACTCCTTCGGTAGTTATGAAACACAGAAAACAGCAGTGTTAGTCAATCAGCACACCAGGCCTCATTCATTCATAGGCAGAGGACAAAATGTCTCATGCACTCTGCATATATTTACTTTGGTTTTCTCTCTGCTGGTTCGAGTCCACAGCTTCCTGTGGCAGAGAGTGAGGGTGGAGAGGGAGAGGAGTGACTGTGTGGTTCAAGGTCTCTCCCCAGACCTTCCAGGGCGGCGTCCTCTATTCCCTCAGAGTCAGAGTCCAGTAGTGGAGCTGCAGCAGTCAGCCCAGTAGTCTGACACACTGACTGGAGAAAGCTGGCATAGGCCACTGTGGGATACAATATACAGCGGCTAGTAGGAGTCTTATAGATCTTACAGTAACTGGTAGTATCAATTCTGGTGCTTTTCAAGCTGCTAGGGGCCCAGGACAAGTTCAAAGTCAGTGTAGTGTAGACCCTCAGTATACAAGGGTAAAAAGACTGACTAAAGAAAGGTGCCTACCATCTGCTCCATTGTGAGGCTGGGTATGGGGCTCCCTGTGCTCTGAGTCCTGTCCTCCACTGCCAGAGGAAACCCTGTGTCCACCAACCACACCACCACGTCCACCTCCCCCTGACTCTGTAGACAAACTCTCACTCTCACTGATGGACCCTCCACCATCTCGCTGTGGCCCTGGTACCGCTGCTGGTGGTGGTAGCAGTGTCTCCTGGGGCAGTGGTAAGTCTCCTTCGTCGCCGAAACTATTGCTACTCTCACTCTTTTCCAAGGGAGAGCTCTCTTTTACTTTATCATCGGTGGGGAGACCTGGTTCGTCAATCGCTCCTCTTGTTTCTTTCACTCTATCTGTAGTTACTGGTTCAAGTCTGCTGAGCTCCATTTCTCTAACGCTCTCATTTGGTGTTGATGAGTTTTTGTCCTCATTCGAGGACTCCCCTATAGTAGCCTTTTGAATCTGCTCTCCCACACTGAGGCGTTGTTCTTTGGGGTGGATGTTGATTCATTTCCCTATTACCAGAATCTTCACTGCTTGTAGTATGACTGATAGTCTCACCAACCAGTTGAGATCCACTGGATTGATCACCACTGAAAAGAGGTAGAGGTTGCTGCTCCGCATGTAGAGGTGTCTGCTCGGCATTACTGAAGGTCAGAGCACCGTTAGAATCATGGTTAACAGGCTGAAGCTTCTCAATGTCCGAGGGAACAGGAGGTGGAGAAAGAGAGAGAGAAGAGTCAGAGTCTTCCGCAGAGAGAACCAGGACATTGTGTGGTCGAGGAGCCACATCCACTGTGATATTGCTTGGCTGACTTGGTACGTGGTTTTCTCCAACTGCATCGGTTGTAGGTGGATGTTGTGGGGGCACAGTGGCTGCAGTGGTTTTTGTCTGGGAGTCTGTTCTGGAGCACATGAGGACGGATTGGTCTCGGTGAGTTGGGAGAGTAGTGCTGTGGAATCAGTGTAGTGAGGGATGGCGGGTGACTGTGAGGAGCACAGCGGGGCCAGAGTTGGGCAGGGGGCCAGGTGTGGAAGAGATGAGAGGGACTCTGAAACAAGAACTGGACTCTTAGGTAGAGACCTGTAGCCTGCAGTTGGAGGTGTGGAAGGCCTAGCAGCTGAGGTTGTTTGAAATTGATGTTGAGTCAGGGTCGTACTAGTCGACACTGGAGCCGGAGGTTTTGGAAATGTTAGTGGTCCAGTGTGTACTGCGGTAGGATGGGTGATGGGGTCAGTGTTAGCTGTTGGTGGGAGTCTTGTTGACGAGTGAGGAGATAAACAAGTCTGGTAGGGGAAGGATGGAGAGACAGTAGACATCGAATAGTGTGTATTGGTAACGTTCCCAGTTTGTGGAAGATGCAGAGTCAGTGATTTTTGCTGGCCTAGACCTGGAGATGGTAGTCCATGATTCTGTGAGGTCTGGCTGACATGGCTGTTCAGCCAGTTAGGGGAGAGTCTTTCCACAGACAACTTGTACTGGCTCTACAGGCAACCATACGACTACATGTAAAGCATAATCTGAAAGATGCCTGTACTTTGAGCGTCTCCAGCTTGCTGGTGTCTACAGGGACGGCGAGAGAGGTGCAGGCCTGCCTGGCGTGGCGCTGCAGGGCCTGGTTCCTGCGCACGGCCTGTTCTCGTCTCTCACACACGAGGCGGTAGTACTGCTCCATGCTGCTGCCGCCGCCGCCTAGCTAGCTCTGTGCATTTGGGGGGTGGATCTCTCAGCCCGCGCGAGTGGGTGGACCTTCGAACCCAGGCAGTGAGAAGAGGTGACGGAGATGCCCTACGTACTGATCAGCACCCAAATCAGGCTGGTTAGTTAGACACAAAAACGTAGATGGTGGTATAATTGTAATGCCGTGCTATTCGTTCGTTTGCACAGGAGTGTGGTCCCACTCTCTGCGGTGAAGAGAACAGTGACCCTGCCCTAATGAACTATCTCAACGCCACTCTCCAGAGTCTCGGTGGAAATCCATTGTGAGAACTCACCACTAGTCGCAGAATATTGTGTATCTTAAAAATTGTTTTTATTTGCGTATATTGGCCCCTCGTCCAAAACACGGTTCCAGCATCTTTTACTCAATTGTTCCTTGAATGGACTAGGCTCTTAACTCTATTGTTCCTCTGTGTGTCTGTCTGGCAGTAAGGTGTATTCGACTCCCGATCATCCGCGGAAAGTTCTGGACAGACTGGCAGACTTGGGCTATCGCGTCGTTGCCACCTCAGGCGTCGGGCAGACCTGCATATGGACGCTGTTTGCCGACTCTCCTACAAAGCCTCCTAGCCTCCTTTAGCAACAGAGTAACTAGTGTTAGTGACCCTGTAATCACACATCATGTACATAAACATACAAAATATTTATACTGGTCACAGCTGGAAGTATGAAAGATGATTTTCCATTCATAAACTGCGAAGACTTGCATATCGACTCCGCCAATTACTGGGTTTGCTGATCATCGAGCTTTGCATGCTCCCTTGCCACCATCTCCTCCAGCTCTGCCTATATATAACAATATTTCACAATTCATGAGATGAACAAACATTGTTACATTAGTGTGTGTGGTTCTGACCTTCCATCCGAGCATGTCAGCAAGATCACGACATCCATCGTCGCAGTTAGCCTTGTGGAACACATCCCTGGACAGTGGTATCATAGCTCTGCTCACATCAGGGACCTAGGCAAGTAGTCTTGCACAGCTAATAAACCAAGTGCCCACTGTGTCCCCGCAGCTCTTATAGATGGCTATGCCGAGCTGCCCTGGTAGCTCAGTGGGTAGAACACTCTGCTCTGTCTAGGACAGCAGAGTGCTGTGGTTTCGAATGCCACCTACCCAGGGCAGCTGTTTTAATGTTGTCCGTCCGGGTATATTTGATATTGCACTTGTACCCCGTGATCCATGCATGCTGGTTTCTCCTGAAGTGTAAAAGTGCACTAGGAAGTGGTCAGGCCATGTGAGTAAATCGACGGAATTGTACTGTTTAAGCACAGTAACTGAAAGAGGCTGAGAGAAAACCGATGACCACAACTCTCCTCTTTCCACGAGATTTGTTTTGTACATAGTATATATATACTGGTTTGAAAGAGAGAAGAGAGGGCAAGTGGCAAAGACTAACCTGTAGCCAGTCTCCTCACCGAAGTCAAGGCCACTGGAAAAGCCCATCAACCTCATCATGACGTCACCCTGTGTGCAATGGGTTGGTATATATAGCTAACAAGACAACACACCCAAACAGAGTAGAGTGTTTTGCACATTTCTTTCGAATGCTGTGAATCTTACTTCATGCATTCACACATGTCATAACCTGAGAGAGACATTATATATATATTGGACTACCTCCCCAACTTTCTCGCGATTTATCAGCAGACGAGGACAATCATCTCTCACTCTGAATAGGAAACAAAACACCATTTGACGAAACCTTGAGAAACATGGTGAGAATAATGAAGAAGTGTTCAGCATTGAGAAGCAGAACTTATCCTGGCTAGGAAGAATTATAGAGAATTGATTACCGGTCAACGAGAGAGGCGAAGGGATGAACCAAGAGAGAGGTTCCCATGACGATGAGGAGGTCACACTTTATCATGTCCTCTTTGATACACGTCGCAAATCTGTCAGGAAGTGCCTCACCAAAGAATATTATGTCTGGAGTTTGTGTGTGTGCACATGTGCAATTGATAAACTTTAGTTTTCCTTAGCAGTGAAAGAGAGGAAGGGGTTGGAATGTGTATAATGGGGTATTTGCGTACCCCAGCAAAAACACGGAACTCAAGGAAATGTGCTCGAGAGTAAGATGTGATTGAATGTCTTCCATGGCAATCTCGGAACTTTTGGCCAGATTAAATTTCGTTTCCTTATTTCTAGCGGCTTTGAGAGTTACGTACGTGGTCACAAATCAAGCCTAACTCATGTGGTGGCAACACACACACACACACACACACACAATGACACGTGTTCGGAATGAAGACAAACGCACCTGGTTTCACGAGTCCTTTCACCTCTCCCCCCTCTCCCTCTTCCCCCTCTCCCTCTTCCCCCTCCTCGCCCTCACCCCCTCCTTTCTTCTTCTCCGCCTCCTCTGTAGCGGTCTTCGTATCTCGACAGGTCTCCCGTGTGCATCGAGGGATCTCGTCTCTAAACACACAATCTGCAGCGAGGAATAAACCCGATACGCTTCTTCCCGTGTCTAATACCAAGGAGCCTCTGGGACACAAGCTGTGTGTTGTGTCTGTCACACCTTCTGCTGTAAGCGGGTTGGATTCCTAACATCCCGTCACATGATATGTACATGTTTAATGCAAAATATCCTCCCTAATCACGGAGCTATCTGTAGACAGGACGGTAGTACACCCTGATGCCCCCCCTATGTGGCATAATTGTGACTGGACAGATATTGTATGTAGGTGGGGGTATAGGTCCAAAGTACTAGTGTCGCATCACGTCACACGTAGTCACATGGACACTCAGGGAGAGCTGTCAACTGCCTCAAGTAAGGTGCTCTTAGCGGTAAAGAGGAACTCACTATTTGAAACCATACCCCTCTACTGATGACGTTCATCTACACACACGTAATTACGTATGCACACGGCATCATGTGCGTATCTATAAGGTGTACATGTCGTTACAAGGTGTACTGTGCTGAGGTCCAATTCTACTTGATCTGCTCAATGCCCGTATGCATGTGTCAACTGTGTCAGGGGTAGAAAGGCAAAAGGCACAACAAGAAGTGCACAAGGCATGCATACACTAGTACATTGAGAAGTGACCTTTGACAAACTGCTCTGAGTACTGGTGTCCACAGTCGATGCAGTGAGCTGTGCTGAATCCTCCGTGAGACTCCACCAGGAGGTCAGGGTTCAGTCCAGCCCTTCTCTCCAGACCGTCTATGTTCTATGGGGAGACGGTTCATCTGACAACCTACCGTAGAGCTGGTTAAATTTTGAGGCTTTGGTGATTTGGTATATAAAACACAATTTCGCTCCAGACTTTGGGGAGGGGGTGTACCTATGTAACTGCTTTAGAACGGGCAAGTTTTTGAGGCTTTGTGTAGCAGAATGTTTCAAAGGGACCACTTCTGTGCATTTCAAATCTCACCGTCCCCTTTCACAAATTTTTGCTGAGAACATTTGTGGATGGCTAAGACACTCGTGAAATTTTTCTGCCTAGAGCATTTCCCGCTATATGCTTAATCAAGCAATAGTGGAAGCCTTGAAAATGTACGCCGTCTCAACGCTGAGAGACAAAGACACACAAACCACATTAAACGTAGGGATTTACTACACAGCCTATTTGACCAATTGTAGTTCAAGCCAACAAAAAAGCGTAGCTCAGCTGGGATAGTGTTTCAAGTGTGTCACCCTGAAACGTCACATTGTAATACAGGAAACTCAGTAGAGGGAGTTGAAACTGTTAGACCAAAGGACAGTTATCATCCTGATTATAAAGTCCAAAGGTGCAAGTTAGTTTCAGTGTGACATCATGAAAGAGAACTGATAATGTGTGATGAATAACTGGACTGATAAACTGGACTGATAAACTGGACTACTGTATATACATGTACCTGTGTGAAGTTCCTGAGCAGAAGTCCCTTCTCTGCCAGCAATCGAATAAAGTAGTGAGACAGGGTTGGCTGTGGTGTGTGTGTGTGTGTGTGTGTGTGTGGGTGGGTGCATGTGTGTGGCGGTAACATTTCTTATGGTGAAAATCCACACAATCACCATTGAAAAGCACACCTACAAACACACAGCTACTGTTGTCTTTGGTGTACACCTACACGTAGACGTCTGCATTCACCAGCACTAGCTGAAAGTGAAGTATATACAATAGCTACATAATTTATGTACTTACACAACATTATTACAAATGAGGTCCTCTCATAACATGTTCATACAAAACTCATTATAGAATACCTCCAACCGTTCTCTGTTTTGAAGTTGCGTACGTATCTCGTGTTATTAGTGGCAGATTGGAGGGCACTTCATATCGATTACTGCTCCACACTCACATATACATCCTATAGAGGGATGCCATTACAGGGGTTTACCCTGGAAATAAGTATTACAAGACACAGGGACACACTGGCTAATCAATTCCTTCTATGGTAAGCTTTTTTCAGTTATGGGATACGGAGTATATGTGTTTGGGGCACCAGCCAGTTGAATAATATTATTATCATGATTGTCCAGCTGTCATACTGGCTAAAGTATTGAGGGCATGCAGTTGCTCCTGCCATACTGTGGTCACACACACAACCGAGTTTGTACGTGAGTTTGTGCACAATCCACACACACACACACACACACAGGTATAATTATATGTACACAAGCTTTGGCGGCTCCTATCCCTCGCATACACACTGTACAAATTGTGTCCTGCTTACACACTCATATGGCATACTGCACATACAACCAACGTGCTTGATACACTTGCAAGTTGAAGCCAAGAGTCTCCATTGTGTAATGAGAGTGAGAGCGTAAAAAAAGTCCCACTGCACACTCCTTACTCGTGAAGCTGCATTCTGCAGAGAATCCTGTGGTTATAATTATAGTAACTTGGCCAGGAACTTCACTACATTCCTATAACACTACTGTCATGTGCAGCACTATAGTGTGAAGCCTTTCCAGTTCCAATGAACATGATTTCCTCACATGCAGGCATAAGCTACAAGTGTCCGAGGTACAATGGTGTACGCAGAACCAGCCATAACAGGCAACACTTATCCATGCACCAATCTACGGGTTAACAATGCGTGTAATGCAGAATTGAAAAATATCCTGTTTAACCCCAACACACACGTAACCGGTGCAACTTGAAGTGAGTATTACTGTCATCCTTGCACTTGTGCAATGATCTACATACTCAAGAGTCACTATAAGGGACAGAGGATTCCGCAAAGGTGAGTGAAGGTTTTCAAGGCATGCAAAGTATGAAAAATATCAGTTCCGACAGTCCACACAATCTCTCTCTGTACTGAGACTAGCGAGAGTGCTTCTTTCCTAATCAATCCCTCCTCGGCTTACACTTGGAGAATGTTGGGTGTTTCGTTACAAACGCCTCATTTGGTCAGGTACTTTCTTCGCTAAGACCCAGACTGACTAGGCGGAGTTGAAGGCCTTATTCCCGGGTTAAACTGCTCCTGTAATATATACACCGTAGAATTACTATTGGAATGTTCTCACTTCCGACCACCTAAACCATCCTTCTGACTCTGTCCCCTTGACAATAGCTGATAATAGTACTAAATATTATTAATTTTCGCTCAATATTTGCATCCCCTGAAGTAGAACTCGGAAGTATAATAATATACAGTATATACCTTGAAGTTGGTTGGGTAGAGCTCCTTGGCCAGCATGCAGAAAGGTTTGGGGTTCCGTCGGAAGTAGCCAATGTGGAAGACGGCCTGCGGGTCAGGCAAATTGTACTTCTGGAGGTTGTCATAGAGACCGGTCCCGGGACTGCGGAAATCAGGGATCCCCGCAGCTGTCAAATGTGTGTGTGTGTGTTGTAATTATACCAATTTCCCAATACTGCTGACCTGCCTACTTTAGTATTGTGTGTAATTGTGGAAATAGAAATCCATGAAGAATATGTGACAGAGTTGTATTACTATTGGGGTAGATGGAGGCCTAAGACAGCTGCCATTCAGTAGCCTAAACCTTGCAGTGCCTAGATTAACAATACCATTACGTAGCTATGTAGGAAAGCGCTATGATGCAATTAAGGTACTTCTTTTGTGCCTCACTGTTACCACTCGTCCTCAGAGACTCATTATAGACTCAAGAATGCCATACGTGTGTACTGAGGATGTTATACTGCTTGTTAATTACAGGAGGGGCTCCCCATCACATACTGTAGGGCGGGAAGAGGGTCTAATTTATTGTGTGATAATAATCCCACACAATACTCCTCGTTTGGAATTCGAAAGGTCTGGTTAATTTCACTATCTTTCTCCCAAACTCTTTCTCCACTGCATGGGGCCCCGGCAAGGCCCCTGGAATGCCTTTCAGTATGTCACAACTGACGACTTTCAAGATGTACAGTTCAGAAACTAATCGACACAAGTAACCTACTAATGTGCTGAATGGGGATATTTAATGAGACAATCATTGTACTAAGGTAAGAAGTTGACAGTGTCTGCTAAGAGATGCACACATTTTCAAGATCACCTGTCGATATTCCTGCTCCAGTCATGACAATGATTCGCCGCTCTGCAAGCAATGATGAGTTTTCACCACAACATGGTCAAACGCACACAGTCGAGTTACTCACTGTTTTCTTCTGAAGACTGGATTTTCTGAACTATTCCAACAATTCCTTTTAAAGAGAAGTCAGTCAATAGTTTCTGGTGTCTCTCGCCAGTTGTCTGTTGCCCCAGGGTCAGCATGCTCAGTAGCCGGGCCAGTGAACCACTCGCTTCCTCCCCATCCTCCTCTTTCTCCTTGTCTCCCTCTCCACTGGAAGGAGTCATTTCTTCTTCTGGTTTATCAGGAGACGCTGAGGTTAAAGAGGATGAACAAAAGCAGCCATAAAACTCGTTCAACATAACGCTGGTAGCCTATTTGGCTGGACCCACACACCGTTAGCCCGACCCTCACGCAAGGAGATTTGTATATGACGTGACATTATTAGCTGTGGGCTTAGCTACGCTACCTGCATCGTTTTGTGCTCCGGACATGCTGAAAAAACCTTGGACTTGAATAATCTCCACACAGCTCTACAGAGATCTTGCTTTCGAGATCGAGTGAGGCCCACGCCCCCATCACGAGCCACGCCCATATTTCTGGGGAGAGAAAAGCGGGCGGGGCCCGACCCCCCGCGGGGGAAACCGCATTAGGTAATGATCTAATTTCCGGCTCTTATCTGGACGGGAAAAGAAGTGGAACTTTTCCCTCGTTCTCACTCTTCCCTCTCAAAGTGAAGCTGCGAAGCAACAGCAGGTGCCTCGAGCGCGCACCAACTCCCGCAATCCTCCTAGCTAGGCAGCTAGTTTGTTGCTAGACACGCAAGTGTAAATGTCCCTCGTCGCTCTAGCTCTCCCTCAGCCTCCGCTCCGGATGAAAGTAACAATGGCAGAGAAAAGCGACCTCTCTCCGACGGGAGAAGTGCCCGTCGTCTACCATGAAAGCGAACCCGTTCCTCCCACCACCACCACCTCCTCCGGCAAGAAAGAGAAGAAGGACAAGTCAAAGCACAAGAAGAACCCGCGGAAAAACGAAGCGACAAAGGCCCTCGTTCACACCTCTGCAACTGCGTCCATTCCCATCGCTCTCTCGGACCCCAACGCCATCCTCATCCGCAGCGCACCCTCATCGCCCGAGTTCCTGAAGCCGCGTCGGCCGCGGGCCCACTTCAAACTTAGGAACCGCTCCAAGGGAGTGGCGGCTAGCTCGGACCCGGAGTCCTCCTGCGCCTCTGTGAGCCCGAGTCCCAGCCCCAGCCCGCTCTCCAGTCCCAACAGACGGCCGCTATTCCTCTGGCCGCGAAAGAAAGGCAAGAAGAGCGGTTCCCGAGACGCCCTGAACGGTCCCAAGACGCCAGGTTCGCGGCCGGAGAGCCCGAACGTCATCGACAGCAGGTACGGAAGCGGGTCGTCCATAGAGCCCGAAGCTACCCCCGCCATCACGCTCCCCGGAGGTCGCCCCTCCAAACTCGAGACGAGACACTCGGGCGGGGAGATCCCTACGATCTTTGTCTCTCACGATGAGCACAACGGCTGTGTGGAACCCCTGGCATGTGGCGGTGGCGATTCTCTGCAGGACGAGACCAGGAAGATGTCACAGACCTCTGTGGGGTCCAACGTCAACTCTGCCAACTCGGGCTACTGTACTCTCTCCGCCGCGGGGAGTGGGGACGAAGCAGGCTCTTTCTCGGACCTCGACTACCCCTCCCCTGTCTCTCCCTCCTCCATGGCATCTAGTCCGGGGGGCTCCGTCCCCAACCTCGCTCTGATGTCTACGGAGGCATCGTCTACAACCAGCAAAAGAACCTCTTCCTATGGCGGGCGAGGTAGCGTCCTGAGCCCCGACAGTGAACCTGATTACTCTCACCAAGAAGACAGCAGAGGTAGAGACGCCCAGTCTCCAGTGGCCACACCCACCACACCCCTGTCAGCTCCGTTCACCGGAATGTCCATTTCCCCGCTCCCCGGACCGCGGGGAGTGAGCCCCCCAAATGAGGGTTCGTCTGCAAAATCTCCGGGGAGGGTCCGGGACCATTACAAGAAGAGAGGAGTAAGCAAAAACCACAATCGGTGGCGCTCATGTTTTACATCTGTTCCATTTGTGTGTGTCACAACAACAATGCTGCTATAGCTGTTTGGCTTTTTGCTAGTGACAGCGCACCGTATGCACACGGCAGTGTACAGAGCTTCTAGAACGTATAGGAGTGAATGTACAGGGCTAGCTGTGTGGGGGATACGTCATAGGGTGCGATTGATTCCAGCTGCTGTTGTGGGTGAACGACAGGGAAGCTTTGTCTCGGCAACTAATGTGTCATTACTAGTGCACCGCAATGACCTACGTAGGCAACCAAGTGCTTAGAATACAGCCCAGGCCAATTTCCCGGCCTAATTGTGCACATTTGCGGCAGTCGTTACGGCGTAAGTAAGACAACTGACCAAATACTCTACGTGTTCTTGTTGTATGCAAAACCTGTAGGATTTTGTTATTCTGGGCATTTTTCTGTATGCTTGTGTCCAGTTGTGTTATTAGATACCACTGCACTCCATGTAATTCACGGTGTTAGCTACCGTGTTGGGAATCAGGTTTCAACCAGTAACTCTCTCCCTCTCCCTCTCTCTCTCCCTCTCCCTCCCTCTCCCTCCCTCTCTTTCCATGTCCTCTCAGCCATGGGAGAAGGTGCGGAAGTTTGTCCAGGCCCTCTCTCCATTCACCCTCCAGTTCAACAAGAAGAAGTATGCCTGGGTTCAGCTTGCCGGTCACCAAGGTGAGCTCTTGAAAAGCCGAAATTGTCTCACTGTTTTTTCACGTCCCTCTTACAAAGCATTGAGGCTGCGTGTAGCTCTCTGTATCCAAGCACTTGTTTTCTTGTTTGGCTTGTCCATAAGTTGGTTTCTGCTATTCATGGTCGGTTGTTTCCGATCCCTGTACTTCAATGCTTGTACACCACTTGTACCAATCAGCGCACTCGCCAAGATTGTCATCCGCATTTACTTATTTATTCCTTTTACATGGACACTGTCCCTTTAATGTTTTGTAACAGTGACGGAGACCGAACGCAATGTTGTAGCTCTAAACATTATGAACTAGTAATTGCTCAGAGAAAACTCAAAATCGAATCAAGCTGTAAATGTATGTATTAGTATGCACCTCAAGGGGTTGCCATAGAGCAGGCTAATGAGTAGCGACAATGTCCCAGGAAGTGGTGTTGGATGGTGGAAGTACAGCTCTCTCTCTCTGACGCCTTCAGTTTGTGTAGTACACATGCCAGCAATGTAGGCTTCTTGACTTCCTGCTTCCGTGGCCCACTGCCTCTTGTCCCAATAGCTATCCTTCCTCTTGTGTCACTTCCTTTTTTTTGGTGTGTGTATACCAGCAGGCATTTTGCCACTTACAATCCTGACTACAGTGTACCTGTCTGTACCACTCTCTCCCTTTGTCCCTCCCTCTCTTCTTCCTTCATCCGTTCTCTCCAGACTCATTTCGTCCTGGCGACAAAGCCGGCTCCATCCAGAAGAAGTCGGACCAAAACGAGTGCTTGGCACTCAAAGCCCTCTCCATGGACGCTCTTCTCCGGCCATTTGTTCCAGAGTACATTCAGACCGTCACCAAGGACGGCCAATGTATCCATTCATACTGTCTCTATACCGTGCATGTTGCGTCTTTGCATGATGTGTGTGTGAGTGTGTCTATTCAACTCTGACCCACTGCCCCTTACACCTATCCCGCTGTACCTTCAACCACCACTTGCTCAACATTCCCAATGTCTCTTACTCTTCCCCAATTTGTAAATTTCTTGCACCATTCCCGACTTCTGTGCATGAAAACACACGAATGCACTCCTCCTACTACAGTGTGTGGTTTCTCTGTGTGTGTGTGAGTTCCAGCAAAACCAATTTGTCCACATCGTGTGAAAACTCCACATACTTTCACCTGTGTCCGCTCCGTGCATGCTTACACTGTGGTTGCTTTGTAGGCATACTTTGTCTCTGTTAGTAACCATATGCCGGGCGCTGAGCAAACATCTGTGAGAGTCTAGCATCAGCATAAAGTCCTTTGCCATTACATTAGCTTGTTTGCCTGTAGAGCACTCCAAGCAATCTCGGCCGTATGTTGCCTTTTGTACATTATGAGACCATTGTGGTGCGTACATACTTTTTGAGGCGGTGTGAGAGTCTGTGATCTGTGTTTGGAATACCTGCCTGGTGTTCTTCATTCACGGAGGCTCCTCTGCCAAGCAAAGGTGCCAAGCACTCCTCTGACACCTTCACACTCCCGCTTATGGCATAATGCACTGAATTTCCTGCCTGCCCTCTTTTTGACGGTCGTTTTGTTGGGGACCTCAAAACACATGGCAGATTATGCTCCAGGTTCCAACTATAATTATAGTAGAATGTATAGTACAGTATGGTTGATGATGTATTGGTATACATAGGTGGACAAATTGCATATACGTCCTTAAAGGTAGTGTCTATACTTAGACTGCACTTTACCAATGAAAAACGCATCTAGTAGTTTGTTCTATGACCTTCCACTGAAAGTCTGTAGTGCTATTTGTACATGGTGTGTGGGAGAGAAATGTATTTCAATCAGCTACATGTTTGTATACTGGTAACTTGATGAAAACAAGGCCGTTTGTCTTTTGCATGCCCCGTTTACTCAGCCTTACTGAGAAGTTTAGTCGCCAATGTATAATGCCATTGTATAGTGCCATTGTATAGTGCATGTACCAGTGGTAGTATTTTAGGGTGGTCTCTCTGTGTGTGTGTGTGTGTGTGTTTTGTGTTCACAAACCATTGCTAGTGAGGTGTTTATGTTACGCATGGTTTGGGTATTGACATTAAAAAAACATTGTTGACCATTGGGGGGTTTCGTAAACTTAGTCCGTGAGCCGGTTTTGGAAACTGGCTCGGCCAAGAGTGCCCTCCCTGGCTGGCTAGTTAGGCAATGTAAACAGCTGAAACACCTGTCACACTGCACGTTATGTACATGCATAAAGCAGTTAAGCAGCCCACGCCCCTGCTTCCCCTGTTTTTTAACCCGATTGCCAAAACTATTGGTATCCCTTCTGTGAGGTGTCTAATGGTGGGCACTGTTTAGATTCATGGGCATCTTGTCTGGTGAATTAAAGAATCCACGATAAGTTGTTTAACGTAAACTGTGCAACATGTCATTTATGTGACACAGTTTTTACAAGCGAGGGATAGGAATTCTGAGTGTTTGTGTAGGCTTTTTACTCCGTAGTGAGTGTGTTTTGAATGGGGCAGGTTTGAAATGTTCAACACCATAGTATAGAGTTGGCTCCTTGACTGAGTGGTATAATACAGTGTTTGTGGAGATGTCTGATCTCCTGAGAGAGTTCACTGAACCAGCAGTCATGGATATCAAGATCGGAGTCAGGTGAGGCTTTTAATATGGGAGACATGCGGAGGAGAGATGGGGAAATTGCAAAGAGGGGGGGTGGGTGAAGAGAGAAGGGAGAGAGTGAGGGGAGAGGGGGTGGAGGAAGAGGAGGAGGAGATGTGAGGGAGAGTTAAGTTTGTACTGCGGTGTGTCTCCAACTGGCAAGACCTCTCCAACCTATACGCTTATTTGGAAGTGGTTTGTATTTGTATTTTGGCATCGGGAGCTCAGCTTATCCTATTATGTAAGGCAACAGTGGGTAACTTCCGTCCTTTGAGCATCTGGTTGGCTACCATATCAGTGTCTTCTTATCCCTTCTCTTCAACATGATAAGTGTATAATACTTCCTCCTGCAGAACATACTTAGAGGACGAGTTGGAAAAAGCAAGAACAAAGAAAGTCCTGCGACAGGTTGGTACTCACACTCACACACCACACACATATACCTACAGTACAGTACATTGTAAATGTATGGGATTATGATGGGGAATTTGTAGGTCTATCAGTATTTTTACTAATTACACTGCAGCTTCTTTCTCTGATGGCGGAATGACCATATATATATATATGTAGATGGGTATGCCAATGGTGTTTGGGTATTGCGTCATTGGATAGCAATCCACCGTGTGTCCTTGAATAAGCATGTGTGTTTATGGGGCTTGGAATTCCTTTTCACGGAGGTAACCATATGAAAATCTGCTGCGACGCCTGCCAGAGTGGGTTTTAGTCACGTGTCTATTGCAAGGTGGTCTCACAAAGCACCATAATGTATGTACAGTGTTGCTAGAAGTGTCCTTATCAGTATATATGCTGTATTGGTTTTAGTTAAAGCAGGGAAGCGGACGTGTATGGTGCACGTTTTATCCCTGCTTACCGTCTCCATTTAACGCTGTAGTTGCATTTGGCTTTGCTTTTGCTTATGACTTCGTTACTCTTTATGTGCGTGGTACCTATATATGTACTTTGAGAGGTACATTGGCCAGCCCCGTTCAGTTCCTCAAACCTAGGGGTCCCTGCTGTGCTGTATGTACAAATATACATACACTTATACAGGTTGTTGAAAGTGATTTTCTCACACATTCCATCAAATGTAGGCCGTTCTGTGTGTTGTAAACATATGCGTGTGCATCCCTCGAACTGTAAGAATTAGCCTCTTTATGTGCTCTGTTGTTTGAAATGTTTCACTATAGGATTCTCTGGAAACCTACATAGTTAGAGGCATGTGTATATAGGGCTATCTGACTCTTCGGGGCAACTTGAACTATACACACCTCTATGTACTCTGTTGCCGTCTTTATGAGAAAGTAGCCCTTGCAGCGTAAGCTGATCTATGACTGCCTCTCTTACCAGTACACGTTAGTACACGGAGTAAGCACCGGGAGAAATGCGTGAAATGAGAGTTTCTCTTGTGATGAATACGGTTTGAATGGCATCTAGCAATGTGAAGAAGGTGT